TACATTTCTAAGCTAAAAACTGGGAATAGAACTTTGGACACTTTGAGTTTTGTTTATTCTTAGCTGTGCAGCCTAGGCTGATCTTGAACTCATGATCTTTATGGTTTTGTATCTCAGTGCTGAGCTCACTAGACTGTATGTGCACACAAGTGTGTGTGTGTGCGTATGTGTGTGTGTGTGTGTGTGCAGGTGTGTATCTGTATTCCATGGTCTTGGGTGAGCTAGGCAGATCCCAACCCTTAGGTGATTCTTGCAGAGAGTCTTGAGGAATGTTGGTAATCTGGGGTTTTTCCTGATAAGCAGGTTTCTCTTGTATTTTATAGATCTTGTATGCGGAATCCCATGGGAAACATTATAAAAATAGTGAAAGGAATAGGAGAGACTTTCTGCCAACACTATACCCAGTCCACAGATAAACAGCCAGGATCTCACATAGGTAAGAAGAGAAGATTAAAACTGGCATAGCATTAAGTGTGGAGAATGTCCCCACAGTCAAGTCCCCTTCTCTTGTACCAGTCTACCTTTGAGTTTGCTTTCTGGTCGTCATCACTGTTTCAGTAGCACATGCTCTCCTTTATTTTCCATAGACTTTGCTGTGAACAGACTAAAACTGGCAGAAATTTTGTATTATAAAATACTAGAGACTATAATGGTCCAGGAAACACGACGACTTCATGGAATGGACATGTCAGTAAGTAAATCTTCCCTTTCTGGTTATTTGTTTTCTTTTTTTAAGAAAGTAAGACTTTATTCTATACAATATAAGCAATTAAAATTTTACATAATTTCTTAGTTTTTAGTTGAAGAAAAAGAAAAACGCCGTGGGAGATTATGAAAAAGATTTGCACTCACTTGTATGTACAGCCATCAACTCTATACATGATTTATAGGAATCACACTTTACCTAATGAGTCTAGAAGCTTCTTTGAAAACACAGTTCTACCATAGCTCTGCAATGAAAGCAGTTTTGAAAGCAGTTCTAGCCAAGAACATAAGAGCACACACTTGCACATAACTGTCACCAGTATAAAAACCTTACACACCGACAGTAAAGTCTCCAGTGTAAAAGCCTCACCGTCTCTCTGCCTCCATCAGAGGCGAATGATTCACCACCACATCTGCATGGACAGTCTCATCTCCAGTTCTTAAGCAAAGGAAGAACCTGGCAGGAACAGAAATGTATTCAACGGGCAGCAGTCCATGAGCTACCGAAAAAGGGAACTGAATGTCAAATGTTAACCAGCTTTATCCTTTCTAGTTTGACAACAACTTGAGACCTTGAGACCTAGTTAGTTTCTTGTGCCTAATCACGTCTTCTCCCTTAATTCTCAGTGATGTCACCTGATCGTTTTACACAGCTGATGAGGTCACTTTGTTCAACCTCAGCCATCTGCTCTTCCTAAGACTTCATTTCATTATTACAAAGAAAGCACCCTCCTTAGCAAGCTGAATATATGCCTGCTTAGGTGCCCGGGACAGATTTTTCCAAGCCTGATGTCCAGTCCTCAGCTTTCTCTGCACAGACTTCTCTTGAGCCTCTTGGAAGCTTTCAGATAGTAAATGTGTTTGTTAATTGAGGTCTTTTTGGTTTCCCAAGCAAAATTAATTCTCTTCTTCTTTTTTTTAACAGTTTGAATGTCTTTATGAAGACTTGTTGATGCTATGATTCTTAATACTGCTCTTTTTAATAACATTTTTGCCTGATTTCTTTCTCAGAAGACATCAGCTGTCTTGGAGTTGACTGTTCTTTAAACTGCTCACAGCTTCTTTGTATGCTTTTTATCTGCTTTAAAATTAGCCTCATAACTTTTTCTTCTGAATTTGGTAGTTCCCTCCACAGGGCCACAATGTTTGTAACCATTCACATCTGGTGTTTAGTGTTAAGTCTGGGTAGCTGTTCTGTAGAAAATCAAAGGTATCTTCCCAGAATTATTTTGGATAATTACCCAAGTTGAATGAAAAACATTTGGATTACAAAGCTGAGTGGCAAGTGCACCCCCCCCATCACCACCCCACCAGTGCCTTCAGCACCCCCTGCAGGCTTTGGAGCAGTGCAGTTGCCCACTGGCCCAGTGCAGCCAGCAACACCAACACAGCTGTGCAATCTGCACTGAAACCCTGGGAGTTTTGTTATGGGAAGTAGTGTTTTGACAGGCTCTGTAGGCCATTGTGGGGAACTGGCAGTTTATGGCAGATGTGGACTGCCATAACTTTCTTTTTCTTTTTAAATTTCTATTGTTGATTTTGACACATCCAGGCTATCTGGAGATAGAAAGGTGAAATATGTAAACATCATCTTTGGTGTCCCGTCAGTGTTCTCTCCCTATAAGTAAGCTTTCTATGTACTCTGGTCTGCCCCTAAAATTATTAAGCTAACAATTATCTATTATAACTCAAAGATTCTTAAATTGTGAAATAGTATTTGTTGTTCTTAAAAAAGAAAAAAAAACACACAACAGTTTTCTTTGAATATTTGACCAAGTCTGATCACCTCAAGGATTGCTAAAAGTATTTTACTTTTCTTTCGTTTTGTATATTTACTATGTCTTTATATATTAGGGGGAGATGGATTGGGCCTTACACTATAGTGTGGTATGCATGTGGAGGTCAGAAGTCAACTTGGAGGGGAGAGTCTCTCTCCCTCTACCACGTAGGTCCGGGAGATCAAACTCAGGTCGTCAGGCTTGGTCTCGGGTGCCCTTACCTGAGCCATCTCTTCAGCCCCTAAAAGAAATTTCTCCAGATTTAAACCTAGCATAAGTTGCTTCCTTTTGCCTCCTTGCTGTGGACTCTGCAGTCAGTCCTAAACCCCTGTCCCATCTCTCCAGCCCTTTTTTTTTTTTTTTTAAATATTTATTTATTTTATTGATGAGTCCTCTCATCTTCTGTTCTGGTAGAAACAGGTAGATCTGTAAGGATGCTGTGGCCTACTACAAAGGCATTTCTCTGGTGCACCCTGGAATTTTCATCTTATTTCTTTAGTGTTGGTTCTTTTTCTTGGATTTCATACATTTGTCTTTTGTGGTTTATGGTAACATCTTAATGGGACACCTAAGGGAGAAGTAAAATTTTTACTTTTGTTTTGAAATAGTTTTACATTCATAGAAAGTTGCAAATGTAACAGGGAGATCATTTTCCTACAGGGACTAAACAGTACAGTATCAAAACAAAGAGATTGACAGTAAAATAGTGTGTCTGCCTTCTACAGGCCTGTCATATGTGGGTGGTGTAACCAGAACAAAGTTAAGACCTAGTAGTCCCTTTTTTTTGGGAGGGAGATAGTTTTCAGATTTTCAGTTTCAGATGTGAGTGTCTGTGATAAACTGGTTTTGCTGTTGGGCTTTGGAACAACTGTTAAGCATGGACGTTACTCACGTACGTGTACGTGCTGCGCTATATATGTAAAGGTACGAGGACAGCATTAGCTTCTTTTTCCTTCACCCTGGTGGATTGAACTCATATCCTCAGCCATGGTGGCAAGAACCCTTACCTGCCGAGCCATCTCACCAGCCTGATTTTGTTTTGTGAGACAAAGTCTCACTATGTAGCCAAAGTTAGCAGCAATCTTCCTGCTCTGTTTCCCAAGTGCTGGGGTGACAGATGTGTCATCATGCCTGGCTGATAAAGTTTATTTATTCAGGTACAATGAGAGCATAGCATGAATAGTTGCTACTAATAATAGTTATAACAAGATGTTGTTATAAAAGTTATATGACTACTATCTATGTCTCTCAAAGCACCTTATTGTCCTTTTATCCTTTCCCCTACAATAAGCACGTTGTGGTTACTATTTGTCTTATCCAAATTGCTACTGTCTCTACTCTTGCACTTTAGGGTCATCATTAAGTAAAGTGAGGGGCACTTAAACATAAGCCCTGACACACCACGTCATGGTCACTACTACTAAATGACTAGTGAGCAGGCAGCGTACACCGTCTGGATCAACCAGATAAAGGGATGACTCCCATCCACAGCAGGGCAGACTGAGCAATGTGCAGTCACTATACTGCACAGAAGAGCACACAATTTAAAACTTAAGAATTACTGTCTGTAGCCGGGCAGTGGTGGTCCACGCCTTTAATCCCAGCACTCGGGAGGCAGAGGCAGGTGGATTTCTGAGTTCCAGGACAGCCTGGTCTACAGAGTGAGTTCCAGGACAGCCAGGGCTACACAGAGAAACCCTGTCTCAAAAAAACAAAAACAAAAAAAAGAATTATTATCTGTGATTGTTCACTAAGATTTTTGAATTAAGACTGATCACGGGCAAATGTACGAAATCTCAGAAAATAAAACCACAAATAAATGGTGTCTACTGCACAGAACTCTATGTTCCCAGAAAGGAGGAAGGCCTTCATGGTGGCCCTTTGTCTCACACTCACTCAGCCACTCACTAGTGTGATATAGTAGTTATAGTTTTAAACACATCGTGTGAATACACCTCTTTTAATTTATTGGTATTATGTTTGGTAAATGTTCTATAGAACCTTGAAGAAAATATATATTCTTCTATTGTGTGGAATATTCTTTAACTGTCCAGTTGGGTTTTATCACATTGTGATTTGTGTTATCTCTGATATTGTTGTTCATGTTGTTGCAGAGTCTTATTTTCTTGCTGATTTTCTGCTTGCTTTTATCAGTTGTTGAGAAGGATAATGAAGTATCTGGATATAATTCTGAGTTTGTCTCATTCAAATCTATCAGAGTTTTTTCTTTTCGTATTTTGAAGCTTTGCATACAAATTTAAGATTGCTCCCTTGATTTCTCTGTAAATTGACCCTTTTATCACCATATAGTGTCCCCTCTCTGACCCTGGTAATTTTGTTTGCTATGAAGTCTTTTACTGGTTCTCACTTCCTTTTAGTTAATGTTTGCATGATACACCTCTTTCCATTGTTTTGCTTCCAAGTTACCTCCATTACTACATGACTTTCTTGCTGGAAGCAAGTATTTGAGTCATGTATTTTTTTGAGGGGTGGGCCTGATTGAGATAGCCTCATGTAACCAGGATGGCCTTGAATTTACCATGTAGCTCTGGTGTACTTTAGTGATCATGTCCCTGTCTCAGCCTTCTCAGTGCTGAAATTACAGGCATGCACTGCTATCTCCAGTGTAGGCCACATTTTTTTCATATCTACTCCGTCATTTCTGTCTTTTAGCTGGCAGTTTTAGCCCACTTTCATTTAAATTATAAATGTAAGGAAGCTTAAGTCTATCATTTCATTTCTCTTTCCTCTTTGTACCCTTTTCTTTCCTCGCCCTTTCTCCTTCCCTTCCAGCTCTAAAAAATACAGCCCATGGAAAGATACATCTCTCCTCTTCTGCTTGCCTTTTCTGTCTTTTGATGGGTTTATTGACCACTTTTTAAAGACTCTATTGCTTCATATGTATTTTCTTTCTTTTTTGTGATTGTGTATGTGTGACTCATATTCTACTGGTATATATATCTCACCACTTCTGTACAATATAGAAACCGTATCTCATTTTAAAGTTCCTTTTTAAAGGATTTGTTTTTCCCTTTACTTTTATTCTGTGTGGGGGGGTGTTTGTTTTGCCTGCATGTATATGTATGTCTACTATGCACGTGCATGAAGTACCCAGGGAGGCTAAAAATGGACATTGGGTCCAGTTGGTTACAGTTGTTTGTGAGCTGCCATGCTAATCCGGGGACTTGAACCTGAGTCTTCTGGAAGAGCTGCCATTCTTCTTAGCCTCTAAGCACATCCCTCAACCCCTAAGTTTCTTTAAAGTCTGCATAAATGTTTTATTATTGACTGACACTTTATTGGTAGCTGTCTGTATGCAGGATTCTAAATTGACATTTTCCTTAATGACTTTGAATGACTATTATTGTCTACTTTCTAAAGATACTGATTAGTGGCGTGCTCTTTCTTTGTTAATGGTGTATGACTGGTCTTTATTTCAGAAATCTTTTATTTTGTATTAGTTTTTGGAGACATGATTTCTCTGTGTAGCCCTGGATGTCCTGGAACTAACACTGTATGTCTCTCTGTCTCTGTCTCTGTCTCTGTCTCTCTGTCTCTCTCTCTCTCTCTCTCTCTCTCTCTCTCTCTCTCTCTCTCTCTCGACCAGGCCCTCAAAACTCACAGAGATCCACCCACCTCTGCCTCCCAAGTGCTGGGATTAAAGGCGTGAGTCACCACCACCCCAGCTTCAGTAGTCTTTTAAATAGTTCTCTCTGTTCATTTCAAATTGGTCTGGAGCTTGATATGTAGCTCAGGCTGATCTGGAACTCCTAGCACTCCACCCAGTTACAACCCTAGTGTCCTTATCTACCCTTTTGTGGGTTTTACATTTATCCACTGGGCATTCCTTCAGAGTGGCCTATTAGTTTGAACTTGTGTCTATCCTATGATTCATTGTGTTTTCTTGGTTTCATTATTTTTCAATGCTCTGTTTTATGAACTCAGGGCCCTGTACATACGAGGCAAATGTTCTACCGCTGAGCATATACCCCTAAAATTATACATTTCTTTTTTATTTTTTTAGGTTAATTCTATCGCTTTACTGTTTTCTTCTATTGTCCAACATGTCTCCTAAATGTTTATGTATGTTTTGCTCTGTATTTCAAGGTGAGTTTTTTCTGCAAATGTTGGATTATTTTTGATTGTCTGCTTCTATATAATAAGGCACTAAAAGCACTATAACCTGTGAGGATAATGTCCAGTGGTGTCAGGTGATGAGAGCTGCAACTACTGGTTGCAGTGGTGTCCTGTTCTTGCCTTGTTCTTGTCTGTTGTAGGAAGGGAAACTGTCTCACAGCCCAGTTACGGATGTCTACCTCTTCTTAAGTACCTGTTAAGTCTTGTTCATTTTCTCTAGAAAACAATTCAGACTCCTAAAGGGTTATCATTTGACCCTTAGAATACTGGGGGTGTGTATCCTCCGTCCCACAGGCTAACCCGCAGACCTTCAGATCACCCTGCCCCTATGTCTGTTCTTGCCTTATTTCTACTTTGCATTTTCCCTGTGCCATCAATGCTGTGTTTCCTCCAGGTTTCATATATCAAGTTTCTCTGTCTGTCTGTCTGTCTGTCTGTCTGTCTGTCTGTCTGTCTATAGGCTCTCAAGTATATTTGAGTGTCTTTTGTCCTTTCTTCCTTTGGTCTTTGTGACTTGCGTTGTAGTTACAGATGACTTTTGGCTTTATCCTAAGTGGAGTCTCTGAGAGATTTTTATTCTCTTGTTGATCTATAAAAGAAGGGCCATAGATAGCTTTAAAAAATTTAAGTTTGGAGTCCAGCAAGGTGATTCAGTGGGTAAAAAGCACCTAGCATGCAAACCTGGTAACTTTAGTTTGAAACTCACAGCACACATACAGTACTCTATATGGGTATCATGGGACATACACTTGTGTGTAGAAACATAAACACATACACAGCAAAATAGGTGAAGATGATGTTTAAACTCCTGTGTCTATGGTGTGTGCATGGTCATGTGCATGTAGTAGTGCAGCTTGGAGCTCAGAAGACTGTGTGGACTCAGTTCTTTCCTCCCAACTGTATGTGCTTTCAGGGGCAGACAAGCGCCTTTACCCTCTCGACTGTCTCACTGGCTCATATAGCTTAATTTTTGAAAATGTTTCTATATGTTGGAGAACACATGACATGCTGTGCATGTGGAGGGAGGAATTGATTTTACTCCTAGTATGTAGGTCCTAGGGAACAAGCTCCTGCTGTCATGCGTTGCCAAGCAACAAGGTTACCCACTGAGTCATCTCTCCTGTGGCCCCCAAATAACCATCTTTAAAAACTAAAAACATGTTAGATTTTTTTATTTTTGCAGGGGATAGGATTTGAGACAGAATTTCTCTGTGTAGTCTTGCCTGTCCCGGAACTCAATCTGTAGACTCGAACTCATATCCACCTGCCTCTGCCTCTCTGCCTCTGCCTCTGCCTCTGCCTCTGCCTCTGAACTGCTGGGTTAAAGGTGTGTGCCACCACTGCCCAGCAACATGTTAGATCTTACACTGATTGATGAAAGAGGGTTTTGTTTTCCCAATGAAGTATTTTTCTCTGAATTTTTAGCTTTTGTATTATCTTTTATTTCACTGTTAACATTTATGCTGACAAAATAATTAAGAGAAAAGAACCAATCCTAAGGTTTTTTCCCAATGGAAATATCACCTATTTTATGTTAACATTTTTAGGCTCACTTTTTCATGTCCTTCATTTAAATTAAAAATCTACAATAAATAAGAATAAATATGATTGGAAAACTTTATCAGCTTGAGAGTGAGATGTATAGGTACATGATACATAATGCATATATGATCTATACATTAATGTATGTATTAAATACACACACACACATAAAACAGTACTGGACCTATATCCTATTTATCTAATTGTCGCTGATAATTTAGGATAATATTTTTACCGATTATTTTGACTGTTTTTCTCCCTCCATTCCTCCTGTCCCTGTTGATCCCCCTGCCCCCACTCGCTCCCATTCCCACTTGCAAAACCCCATTTTATTTCCCCTTCCCAGGAGACCCAGGATTCCATCTCTAGCCTTCCTCATTACCTGATCTCTCCAGGTCTGTGGATGTAGCTTGTCTAGTCTTTCCTGTCTGTTCTTCCTCCTTACCTGCCCTTCTCTATATGCTGCCCGGATTGGTCTCCATCTTGCTCTGTAGCTCAAGCTAGTCTTGAATACAAATCTTTCTGCCTTACCTCCCGACCACACGAGGTTATAGTGTTCTTTCTAGAAGGACCAAGGCTGAAATTACTGAGAAATACTAAATTCTGGTCTTTTTCTTCCCCAAGGTTCTTTTAGAGCAAGATATATTTCATAGATCCTTGATGGCTTGTTGTTTGGAAATTGTGCTCTTTGCCTATAGCTCGCCCCGTACTTTCCCTTGGATCATTGAAGTTCTCGATTTGCAGCCATTTTATTTTTATAAGGTAAGGTGATTGCAAAGTTCTGTTATTGTATCTATTCAAATAAACATTTATCTTAATGTTTAAGAAACACAGTTGCAATGTTTAGAAAATATTTCTGGAAGTGTTCTCATAGTAATTATTCCTTTGGGGTGTAAACAAAGACAAAAGAATGGAATGTATTGGGCCAATTTCATAGTTTGAGTTCCTTTTCAAATTACTGACTTGCAAGTGTGACCTGGAACTCAGCACTTACCTTTGCATGCTCATCTGCTGAGGGCTTGCCTTCTTTAGTGCAGACCCAGAGACCACTGGATGTGAAAGTCTAATCGTTCCAGAGGCTCTAGACCCTCTCCCTGTGCTAGTCAGTAACTAACCGGAATTTTATTAATTTTTTTTAGAGAAAACACATACAGCAGTTACTTTCAAATAGTTCATTCTATTCTTTTGAGATATTGGAAAGGGGAAGTAGATCAAAAAGAAATTAGACCGGAAGTTAGGACTGACTCCTACCACTTTTGGACTGTCTACCAGTTCATACTCATTGGATCACAGGCCTGTAATCCCAGCACTCAGGAGACGGAGGCAGGGGGATCAGAAGTTCACAGCCAGCCTCGGCTACCCGAGATCCTGTCTCAAAAAAAAAAAACCACAAAGACATGAAAGATGTGTATAATTTTATTTTACTTTATTCCTTTACTAATTAATTAACTTGGTTCTGGAGATAGAGCACAGGACCTTGCGCATAGTAGACAAGGACTTTTCTGCTGACACATAGCTCAAGTGTGTGGTAATATTTTTCCTTTTTTTTTCATGTGTCTGTGTGTGTGGTTTGTATGAGTGCATGTATGCGCACATGTGTGTAGGCGCACATGTATGTATGGGCATGAGCGTATAGAGACCCAAGGTTGATGTTGGGGATCTTGCTTAACTGCTCTCTCACCATATCCTTTGAGGCAGAGTCTCTTAATGAAACCCAGATCTGCAGATACAGCCAGTCTCGCTAGCCAGCCTTCTCCAGGGATTCCTCGTCTCTGCCTTCTAAGGCTGGAGTTACAGGCAGGCCACATTATTCCCTGGCATTAATTTGAATTCTGAGGATCTGAACTCCAGTCCTCCTGCTTGTGTAGAAAGCGTTTTTAACTGTTGCACCAGCCCTGGATGTGGTAATATTTTTAGTGTTCATGTGATATTACTCAGAGGCCTGCTCTTTCCTGGAGGCAAAGGAGGGGCAGTGGATCTGGGGAGTGGGGAGGTGGGGGGATCTGGAGGGAGGAGAGGCTGCGGTTGGGATATATTGTATGAGAGAAGAATAAAGAGAAAGGAAAAAAATTAAAAGAGCCTTGTATTTAAAATTATAACATGCACATTTTAGTCGTCCACAGAAATACAGCTCCAGTGTGTGTCTGTGTGGCAGTAAAGCAAGTCATTCGTGTCTGTGTGCCCAGAGCAATGATTGCTTGTTAGTCTGAACTCAATGCTGTTTCAACGTTCTTCTCTCCAGGTTATTGAAGTGGTGATCCGCTCAGAGGAGGGGCTTTCCAGAGACATGGTGAAACACCTGAACAGCATTGAAGAGCAGATTTTAGAGAGTTTAGCTTGGACTAATAATTCTGCATTGTGGGAAGCTCTCCATGCTTCTGCAAACAAAGTTCCTTCCTGTGAAGAAGTAAGTCAGGGCTAAACAAACAGCATAATTTGTTTTTTGTTTTTCGAGAGGGTTTCTCTCTGTTGCCTTGGCTATTATGAACGATGCTTTACACAAGTTCAAGCCAGATATGTCTAGCACTGAGAGGGGGAAATGAACAAGGAGTCCCACCCCCCAAACTATCTGTAGCTGATAGCTACTGCCAAAGGGAAAATGAGTTTTCTCCAATGGAGTCTCACTGGGTGTATCAACTACATTCCAGGGCAAGCCCCATGTCCAGCAGTAGTTGGTGAACACAAGACAGAATGCTATTTTTATAGACTGTTTGTTTCATTTTGCTTTGTCTTGCTGGTCTTTTACATGTTCATTTTTGGTTTTGTGCGGGTGCTTGCTTGTGTGTCTGTGTGTTTCTTGTTTGATTTAAAGAGAGGAAGACATTTGACTGAGTAGGAATTCGGAAAGGATCTGAGAGGAATTGGAAGAGGAGAAAACTTGATCAGAATATGCTGTATGAAAAAAATATTTTCACTAAACAAGGAATGATGTTGTAACCATTCATACATGAGGACTTGTGTGCATATTTTCATTTTTCTTGGGTATCTGTCCATGGTATTTTATCTGTGCTTGGAATTGCTGTATCACATTGTAATTGGTAGAGCTTTTGAAAACATTGAGCTTTGTGAAGGAGTAAAAGAAAGTGAAATAAAGTAAGGCTTCTAGGTGCGTCTCTGTAAGATGAAGTGTTTTTTGTTTTCTGTAGGTTATATTCCCAAATAACTTTGAAATAGGAAATGGAGGAACTGTACAAGGCCATCTCCCCATGATGCCAATGTCACCAATAATACATCCAAGAGTTAAGGAAGTCCGCACGGACAGCGGGAGCCTTCGGAAGGGTAGGTATGCACTGATGGAGCACTGGGGGGAAGATGCAGACCAGCTTTTGGGGTTTTTTTTTCCCCCAGATCATTTTTTTGTTTGCTTTAAGATTTATTTATTTATTATGTATACAGCATTCTGCCTGCATGTATGCCTAGAGGACAGAAGAGGACATCGGGTCCTATTACAGATGGTTGTGAGCCACTATGTGGTTGCTGGGAATTGAACTCAGGACCCCAGAAGGGCAGACAGTGCTTTTAACCTTTAAGCCATCTCTCCAGCCCCACAGACCAGTTTTTGTTCTATTTTGATTTGTTTGTTTTGTTTTTAAAATTTATTTTATTTATATGTGTACAATAAAGCTGTCTTCAGATACGTCACAAGAGTTCATCAGATCCCATTACAGATGGTTGTGAGCCACCATGTGGTTGCTGGGAATTGACCTCAGGACCTCTGGAAGAGCAGTCAGTGCTCTTAACCACTGAGCCATCTCTCCAGCACCTACAGACCAGTTTTTTAAGAAAAAAGTTTCTAGCTCCATAGTACATAAAACATTTAATTTTTTATCAAGATTTGACAAGAAGCTCAGTGCTTTCACCCATACTCAATGTGGCCTGTTCTACACTTTCTTTGTATTAAAAGCCTTTCTGTGCTGAGCCTGGTGGCACACACATGTCTTTAATCTCAGCATTCTAGAGGCAGAGGCATGCAGATGAGTTCTAGGCCAGCCTGGTCTACATAGTGAGTTCTAAGCCAGCCAGGGCTACAGAGAAAGACCCTTTCTGAGATGGGGGTTGTGGGGAGGGAGAAAAGAAGAGGAGAGAAAGGAAAGAAAAGGGCTTTGGGGCTGGCAAGATTGCTCAGTGAGCTTGTTGCCAATCTGGCCAGCCTGAGTGTGACTCCCCAGGACTCACAATGCTGGGGGACAGAACCACCTCCTCTGGTTGTTCTCTGATCTCCACTTGTGCACCATGGCTTGACATTCTCCTAAGTAAATAAATTAAAATATAATTTAAAAGATTAACCTCCACCACTAAGCTCCATCTCCTAAAAAAATCTTATTTACACTCTTAAAATTGTACCTTTTAAGCCTTAATAATGGGAAGATTTTAGTGCAGTCTTGTTTTTCTTGTGACATATCAGCTGACACACTTATCTTTGGAATTATGAATCCTTTGAAATTTTTGTTTGTTTGTTTTGTTTTTGAGAGAGCTTCTCTATATATGGCTAGGCTGGCCTCAGACTTTTGATCCTCCGTCCTCTGCCTCCTGAGTGCTAGAGTTCCAGGTGTGTGCTTGCATTCTTAAATTCCAAAAATAGTTAATACCTTTGCTGTTCTACAGTTGCTTTACAAATACTGGAAAAACTATGGTAGACACTTAGTTTAATGAATATACAAATAAATAGATGAGCTAGCCACAGTTCGCCAGGGCAAAAGAAGATGCCTTGTTATAAATAAGATAAAAAGGCAGCAAGCACCATCAAGTTACTCTGTGTGAATTTTTATTTTGTTTTAGTGTACTGGGGATCAAACCCAGAGACTCAAGCCATGCTAAGCAAATGCTCTCATAAGAAAAGGTATTTCGGAGGCTGGAGAGATGGCTCAGCAGCTAAGAGCACTGACTGCTCATCCAGAGGTCCTGAGTTCAATTACCAGCAACCACATGGTGGCTCACAACCATCTGTAATAGGATCTGATGCCCTCTTCTAGTGTGTCTGAAGACAGCTGCAGTGTATTCACATACACACAATAAATAAATCTTCTTCTTTTTTTTTGGTTTTTCGAGACAGGGTTTCTCTGTGTAGCCCTGACTGTCCTGGAACTCACACTGTAGACCAGGCTGGCCTCAAACTCAGAAATCCGCCTGCCTCTGCCTCCCAAGTGCTGGGGTTAAAGGCGTGCGCCACCACTGCCCGGCATTAAATAAATCTTTAAAAAAAAAAAAAAAAGAAAGAAAGAGAAAGGGAGGGAGGGAGGGAGGGAGGGAAGGAAGGGAAGGAGGGAGGAAAAAAGGAAGGGAGGGAGGGAGGGAGGGAGGGAGGAAGGAAGGAAGGAAGGAAGGAAGGAAGGAAGGAAGGGAATGTGCAGATAACATCATAGCTGGGACCCAATTCTCTCCTTGAACCACCAGCTTTGAGCATTCCAGTTCAACTCCAAGGGCTCCCTTGAATTTCTTAGATTCAAGGCACTCAGGTAGACTCTTGTAGGAGTCCTGGGAGCTACAAGAATCTGCTTGTTTACTGAGGACTAAAGTCAGGGCTGCTTTTGTAACATCCAGAATCATTCAAAGACTTTTATTTAGCCACAGCTACTTCCCCAACCATCTCACATTACACATCACTGCCAGAGTAACTTTTATTACCTATCCTTTAAAAGTAGACTGACAGCTCACCTTCACTTTAAAAGTACATTCTGTGTGCTGGGTACTGACTGTCATTCAGTGGCAGAATGCTTGCCTAATGTGCACAGAACAAAAAAGAACAGCAGCAGAGCATGTTGTGTACTTGTGAGATTGGCTCAGGACAGTGGTAAAACCGCGTGGACAATGATGCAGAATTGAATGTCTCTTAGAAATATGTGACGAGCTGGGCGTGCAGCTGGGTGACTTCATTCCAGCACTTAGGAGGAAGAGGAAGATGTGCCCCTGTGAGTTTAGTCAGTCTGTTCTGGTCCACATAATGAGTTCCAGGCCAGCTGTGACTACATAGTAGACCCTGTCTCAAAAACTAAAGCAAAACAAAGCCAGACATATGTAACTTACATTACAATTTTTGTAGAAGCTCACAACTAATATTTTTCTTTGAGTCAAAGGAGATATTGGACTTGAACTGTTGAACAATGATGGAACTATTGAGAGTTTGTTGACCTTTGGAAGACAAAATCCATTTCTACTATTATTATTTGACAGAAGTTATTAGTGGCTCTCTTAGGTTTCTTTTGCTTTGATAAAACAATTTGAGGGAGAAAGGGTTTGTTTCAAGTTATAATTCCACATCACTATCCATCACTAAGGGAAGTCAGGGCAGGACCTTAAATAGGGCAGGAACCTAGAGGCAGGGCTGATTTAGAGGTAATGGGGGGAGGGCTGGCTTGCTCACTCTACTTTCTTATAGTACCCAGGACAGCCAGGCAGCGGGCAACATAGGCTACAATGAGGTAAGCCCACAGTAGTCATCAGTCAAGAAAGTTTACTGTTGGCTTGCCTACAGGCCAGTCTGGTGGGAGCGTTTTCTCAGTTGAAGTTCTGTCTTCCAAGATGACTCTAGTTTGTGTCAAATTGACATAAAACTAGCCAAAGGCGCTTAATAACCATTCATTGCTCGTCCCTGCGTATGACCCAGCATCCATGTGACTACCCTGAGAAGCTGAGTGTTTCAACAGCTCTCATTCACCAACTGGAAAGTTAAAAATGTTGTCTCTGACATGTAAGCCAGCATGGTAGTACATGCCTTTAATCCCAACATTCAGAAGGCAGAGACATGAGGATCTCTGAGTTCATGGTCACCCTGTTCTACAGAGAGAGTTAGTTCCAGGACAGCCAGGCCTATACAGAAAAAAGTCTGTCTTTAAAAAAAAAAAATACAACCACAACAAGAGATAGAGATAGAGGGAGAGAGAGGGAGAGGCAGAGGGAGAGGGAGGGAGGGAGGGAGGGAGGGAGGGAGGGAGGGAGGGGGGAGAGAGAGAGAGAGAGAGAGAGAGAGAGAGAGAGAGAGAGAAAATGTCATCAGAAAGCACATGAGATCTATAACAGAGATCTGTTTTTATTGATGTATCTGAAAAAACTTTTGGTTTTTTCGAGGCAGGGTTTCTCTGTGTAGCCGGGCTGTCCTGGAATTCACTCTGTAGACCAGGCTGGCCTCGAACTCAGAAATCCGCCTGCCTCTGCCTCCCAAGTGCTGGGATTAGAGGCATGTGCCACCATTGTCCGTCCTGAAAAAACTCTTGTCTCATGACTATCTTTGTTAGCATACAAACTTGATTAAGCTGCTATCATATTGAAATACTGAAATACTGAACTTTGGGTAAATTAAATCTCTAATTAAATCTATTTGATTCTAGAATAAAGCATCTCTTCTTCCTTAAAAAAGAACATATAGGGCTGGAGAGATGGCTCAGTGGTTAAGAGCACTGAATGCTCTTCCAGAGGTCCTGAGTTCAATTCCCAGGAACCACATGGTGGCTCACAACCATCTGTAATGGGATCTGATGCCCTCTTCTGGTGTTTCTGAAGAGAGAAATGGTATACTCATATACATAAAATAAATAAATAAATCTTAAAAAAAAAAAAGAACATATAGTATCAAAACAGTCTAGAGAACCTGTGTTCACTGTAGATGACTTACACTGGGAGAGGCCCAGTCCCTAACAGTGTGTGACAGAGGTTAACACCATGTGTCCTCCACTGTTGCTCTTCGCCTTACCTCATGAGGCAGGCTGGCTAGTAAGTTCTGGGGTCTGCCTGTCTCTGCCCCCCCCCCACTTTACTCTGTCAGGATAACAGAGCTGTGTCATCACACCTTGGGTCCGGTGCTCCAAATCCCCAGGTTCTTATGTTTGCACGATGGGCACTTGACTGATCCATCTCACCAATCCATAGTCTTCACTCTGGTTTTGATCAGAGAAGACTCTCAAATTAAGGCAAAGTCAGCAGTGGTATGTATCGCTTTTGTTCATGTTTTCTGATAACCCTACTAAAGATGATTCTGTTATTTACTAATTCATAAACCACAGCCACTACCTTTAACTGCTGGGGATGTGGGGGATGGCAAAACTGTGACTCCCTAAACTTAGTTTTGCTTGTGTTTCTTCTTTCTTGGGTGCTATTTATTTAGTAGGTAATACCGAGAGATGGAAGCTCCTCCCTCAGTTAATGCTCACGTCATTCTACTGCTCAGCCTCTCCCTTGTTCCTAACCTGTTGCTCTGTTGCTGTGGACACTGCTCCAGAAATGCAGAAAGATGAACCGTCACACCGTTCACACTCTCCTCTCTTCCTCTAGACTCGACAGTCCATGAGTGTGGAAACCATCTTTACTTCTAGATCTCAAGTGCTTAGCAAGGGAATAAGTAAACCTGATCTTTTATTTTGGAATGCATTTTAAATTTAAACCTTTTATTTTTCTCTTTATTAGATATGCAACCATTGTCTCCGATTTCTGTCCATGAGCGCTACAGCTCCCCTGCTGCAGGAAGCGCTAAGAGGAGACTGTTTGGAGATGACCCACCAAAGGACACACTGATGGATAAGATTATGGCCGAAGGAACAAAGCTGAAAATTGCTCCTTCTAGTGTCACTGCTGAAAGCTTATCAATTTCCCCTGGGCAAGCTCTTCTGACAATGGCCACAACCACAGTCACAGGGACGATGGGACGGAAAGTTACAGTTCCTTTGCATGGTAACATCTTCTTCATCTCTACTCTACATTGTTCAGTTACATAAAAATTTAAGAAATGTCCTATGAAATTGGATCACATGATATAACTCAGTATTTTTAAAAAAGACTTTATTTTATGTATATAAGAGTTCTACCTGCAGCCGGGCGGTGGTGGTGCATGCCTTTAATCCCTGCACTTGGGAGGCAGAGGCAGGTGGATTTCTGAGTTCGAGGCCGGCCTGGTCTACAGAGTGAGTTCCAGGACAGCCAGGGCTACACAGAGAAACCCTGTCTCGAAAAACCAAAAAAAAAAAAAAAAAAAAAGAGTTCTGCCTGTGTGCATGTCTATGCACCATGTACATGCCTGATGCCCATATAGGACAGAAGAAGACATCAGTTTCCCTGGAACTGGAGTATAGGTGGTGTGAGCCACTGTGTAAGTGGTGGGAACTGAACCCTGGGTCCCCTGCATTAGCAACAAATGCTGTCAGCCATTGAGCCATCTCTCCAGCCCCAGTATTTCATTTTTAAACCTAAGTTCTTTTCTTTTCCTTTAACTGACCCTGTACTGTAGGGTAGTTTGAAAGTCACAGGAGTTTTAAGGTAGAGGTACTTGTCATACACTTCCTGTCGTCCTCCCTGCTTTCTCTCACAGCCTGTGAAAGCATCGGCATCGTACACACTAGGCCGCATGTTCTTAGATCAGTGAGGCCACACTGACCCATTCGCACGTACAACCCACAGTTTACATTCAGGGTCACTCTTGGTATTGGGCATTCTGTGCACATCACAGAATTGACACTGTATAATGACATCTGTCTTCATAGTAACTACATCATAGTCCCACTGCCCTCAAGTGTTCAGTCCTCCACCTACTGTTTTATTTTGAACATATACTATTTTAAATTTCCACATTTTATAAACTTACAACCCTTTTTGTTAGGATTTACTTTTTTGTTGTTATCTGAACTTTATAAATTGGTATATTAAGGGAGAAATTCTTTTTAATTAAAGACATCTGAAGTGCTCAAAAGAGTAAAATTTGCTTTTTTAAAGTATTAAAGTTGGGCCAGTGAAATGGCTAATCAGCTAAACGATCTTGCCTGCAAACTGGACAGCCCAAGTTCAGTCCCCAGAAGCCACATGGTAGAAGGGGAGAACTGGCCCTGCCCGTTGTCCTCTGACCTCTATACTCACGTCATGGCACACACACACACTCCTCCCCATAAGTGAAATAAATAGATGATGTTTGTAAAAGTTTTAGGTGACATATAAAAACATCACAGGCACATACAAAAAGAGAAGATAACATTTTTTGTTGCTGTTGTCTGTTTTTAAGACAGGGCCTCTATGTCTTGAGGCTTTAACTCACCATACAACCTAAGCTGGCCTCACATTTACAGCAGTCCTCCTGCAGTAGATCCCCAAGCAGGCATGAGACATGAGGCATCACACCCTGCTACTCAAAATTTGTCTTTTTAAGTAAAATTAAACATAAAAATATAAAAAGGAAACATGATCTTGTTTCAGAAAGAAAAAACAAAACTGTTCCAGTTACCATGTGATAGCTGCACCCGTTTCTCTGAGATACCCCTGTGCTTATTCATACATATACATTGACAGCTTTGCTGTGAACATTCGGCTTGCATCTCCAACTGAGCATTCTTGCTTGTGCACGCAGGTATTGCCAATGATGCTGGAGAAATCACACTGGTTCCTATTTCCATGACTAAAACTCAGGAGTCCACAGCCGAGAGCCCTGTATCACTGACTGCCCAGTCATTAATTGGGGCTTCTCCAAAACAGACCCATCTGACTAAAGCCCAAGATGCTCATCTGACTGGAATAAGCAAACCGAAGAGGACTGGGTCCTTAGCCCTGTTTTATAGAAAGGTATGTTTGTCCATAGCATCTGAACAGAGATCATTTAGCAAACACTGCATACTAAGCAGTGCTTGCCTCTCTTTTTATTTCTCTTTTAAAATAAAGTACACATAATTATAAAATGTGCAAGTTTAATTTTTAGGCCCTTTGCCACTGTCCACCTCCAGGACTTTTTCATCTTCCCATTCTGAAACTCTTTACACAGTAAAGTGGAAGCCACCATTGGTCCCTGCTCCTATCGGGCGATCACTACACTCTTTTTTGTCTGTGTGAATTCGACTGCCAGTTTGAAAAGGTGCCATGTTTAAGTGAAATGACACACGTGTGCGTCTCTCTTGGCTAGCTTATTTTCTTGAGGACACCTTCCACATTCATCTGTGTGATGGCATGCATGGAGATTCTTTCCATTTTAAAGCTGAATAATATTCTATGTGTATATACCACACTTTGTTTATCTACTCGTCTGTTGGGAGATGTTTGGGTTGTTACCACTTTTTGGTATTATGAGTGGTGCTGCTGTGAATATTGGCACTCTGTCTCTGCTTTCAGTTTAAGTGTATTCCTAGAAGTTAGATAGGAACTCAGAGTATCTAGTGTGTTGGGGTAGGGCTGGAGGACAGCTATGCCTGTCGTTCTTTTTGTGCCATCCACTTTGTTTTTAAGAGAATTCACCAAGTAAGCTAGGATGGCCTGCAAACAAGTCCCAGGGACGCCTGTCTGTCTCTACCTCCACAGCACAGAACTACAATGCATGCCACCACACCCTGTGTTTGTGAGTGCATTCTGGGCATTGAATCCCAGTGCTCATGCTAGTACAGAAGCACCTAGTGACTGCACTGCTGTGTCTACAACCCTCAGTATTTGTTTAGGCAATTGCTGTTCTGTTCTGTGTGACTGCACCGCTTTACATCCTTACTGCAGTGTCCTCCTTCTCTGTGTCAACAGTGACAGTGTCATTCTCTATCCACAGTGACAGTGTCCACCTGCTTTATCAACAGAGACTTTCCAAGATTTTGGGGGGTAGAGTACAAAAATTTTATTCAAAGTGCAATGAAACAAAGTACAATGAGACATGGTAAAAGCTTAAAAGAAAGAGGAAACTAAGGCACCTTGCCTCAAGCTCAGGATCAGGAACAAAAGGGTTCCTCCTATATATTGTACTGAAAAAGCTGTTTGACTTCCTGCTGTTAGACTTTCTCAGTGGTGTCACTGTGCTCAACCTCCAAGGTGATGCCTGACCAATTATAGTTTTCACAGAGATCTGCATTGTTAGTGGTGGAGACAGCAGGCCTCATGGAATAGCCCTTTCTCTCTCTCTCTCTCTCTCTCTCTCTCTCTCTCTCTCTCTCTCTCTCTCTCTGCCTCTCTCTCTCTTTCTCTCTCTCTTTCTCTCTCTCTCTTTCTCTCTCTCTCTCTCTCCCTCTCTTTCTTTTTTCCTTCTTCCCTTCTTTCTTTCCTTTCTTTTTTTTTTTTCTTGGCCTGGTCTACAGAGGATTGAACCAGGGTAGCGTGTGTGTCTGTCTGTGTGTATCTGTGTGTCTGTGTATATGGGTATTTTGTTTGTGTACAATATTTGTACACTGTCCCCAGAGGCCAGAAAAGGAGTCAGACACTCCTGTTAATGGAGTTGTCGCCCCGGTTGTTACTAGCTTCTATGTGGTGCTAGAATTTGAACTCCTATCCTCTAGAAGAGCATTTAGCGCTCTTACCCACTGAGCCATCACTCCTGCTTAGATTTTAGTTTCTCTATGTTTAGTAAGTGCGGCTTATTGTCAGTCTACATATCTTTGCATAAACGTCCATTCGGGTCCTTTATCTACTCTTAGTTGGATTTTTGTGATCGTCACGGGAGGCCTTTATTTCTTCTGGTTATCCTTATCAGATTCATGATTTTCAGATATTTTCTCCCATTGCGGCAGTTGTCTTTTCACTCTGGTGATTATATTCTTTGATGCATAAAAATTCCTAATTTTGACAAAAGTTTTTTTCTCTCGAGTATGTGCATATGCCTGTGTGGATGTGCATGGAAGCTAGAGCTGACTGTTGGATGCCGTCCTCGAGCACTCCCTACCTTAGTTTAAAATGTCTTGTTTGGGGCATGGAGAAATGGCTCAGTAGTTAAGAGCACTGGCTGCTCCTTCAGAAGATCTTGGTTCAATTCCCAGTACCCAGGTAGTGGCTCACACAGTCTGTAACTCCGTCCCAGGGACCCTGACCCTCTTTTCTAGCCTCCTCAGACACCAGGCATGCTCTAAACCATAGAGCCGCTTCCAGCCTCAGGAGACTTGGTTTTTTGGTTTTGGGTTTTGGGTTTGTTGTTGTTGTTATTTTTAAAATAGTTTTGCTTCCTGAATCATTTTCAGGCTCAGAAATTCAGAACTTTGCTACTTGGCATATTAGACATTCCAGCAATTTTTCTCCAACCCAAAAAGAACACACAGGAACTTCTGAACAATTGAAAATGTTTGAATTCATAATAGTTACTATGCAGGTGAATCCTGTTTTTACTTGTTTTTACTTTTCATAGTGGCATTATAGAGTATTAGGCATGATCACTTTAAAAAACACTGTAGGGGCTGGAGAGACGGCTCAGCAGTTAAGAGCACTGACAGCTCTTTCAGAAGTTCTGAGTCAATTCCCAGCAACCACATGGTGGCTCACAACCATCTGTAATGGGATCTGGTGCCCTCTTCTGGTGTGTCTGAAGACAGCTACAGTGTACTCATGCATAAAGTAAATTAAAAAATCTTAAAACGATAAATAAATAAAAAACACTGTTAGGTAGTTTTTTATCTGTAGCTTTCATCTATACTCTCTAACCACAGCAGTTAAACTAGTGCTATAAAACAGAACATTGAGATGATTTGGTCATTTTGTTTTTAACCTGAGCCTGTAAGCCCATATTCACTGTAAGACGTAGACACTTGAGAAGCGACTTGTTTGATAATGATGTGTTTTCTTCTGTCTTAGGTCTATCATTTGGCAAGTGTGCGCTTACGTGATTTATGTTTAAAACTTGATGTTTCAAATGAGTTACGAAGGAAGATCTGGACATGTTTTGAATTCACTTTAGTTCACTGCCCTGATTTAATGAAAGATAGGCATTTGGATCAGCTCCTTCTGTGTGCCTTTTACATCATGGCAAAAGTATGTATAGGACGGGAGGAGGTTCTGCCCTCATTGCCTTAACTGAAGCATCAGTCAAAACTGTTGGACTTGCTCCTTAGTTTTCCTTCTGTGCTACAGGCGGATACTGCTTACCATTATTGAGTTTCAAGCTACTACAGTGTCTGGGCTCTCCTATGAATTTCACAGTAATCAGCCTTTCACTTGATAAGACTACATGTTGCCATGTAAAATAGGTAAAGGTGCTTGCCACACAAGCCTGGTAACCTGAATTTGATCTGAACCCATAGTGAAAGGGAAAAAGGGAAAACTGAACTGTGAACACTGTCTTCTGTTCTGTTTCAGATGTGCTCCTGAGTTCACACACACATCATTCTCACCATACATGACATTTTTATGTTTTTTAAAAGAAGAATACATTGGTTATAAAGGAATTTAGAAACGGGAATAGCACATTTCCAGCTCTCCCTGTAACATCTCTAGTGTGAGACTTACTAGTAAAGTGAGCATTACATTCAGATGAGTAGGTCCAGAACTGAAGTCACTTGGCCAAAGTTACCCAGTGAGTGGCAACACATGCCCTCTTCATTCATAGTCTGGTGGAGGACGCCTCTGCTTGCTACTGCCTTTCTTTGATTTACCATGATGCTTAGCAAGTGCTATACCATGTTTAGGTCACAAAGTAACCCATCTTGCTTATTTTTTAAAAGTTTGACATATATTAGAAAAATCATTTATAATTTCTATCCTAACAATATATTGGCTAAACTAGCAATCTTAGCTAATGTATATAATTTTAAGACCTGATTTTCAAGCATTCGAGGCAAAAGGTATGTTTCCAAAATTCCTTGTGTCCTTCCTGTTCAGTACCTGTTTAAAATCTCTCTCTCTCTCTCTCTAGGAGCTGGAGAGATGACTCACTGGTTAAAACACTAGCTGCTTGCTCTTCCAGAGGACCTGGGTTCATTTCCCAGCACCCACATTACCACTCACACCCCGCTGTAACTGTAGTAGTAGGGCATCTGATATTCTCTTCTAGCCTCCTTGGCCCCAGACATGCATTTGGTACATTGGCATTCATGCAGACAAAGCACTCATATGTGTAAAATGAGAATAATTTTTAAAAAGCTCTATATAAAGTGTTAATACATGTTTTTAACTAGTCATTTGTGGTTTTCCAGAAATATGTCAGAATTTAGGCTTTTCTACTTCTAAGTCATTATTATAGAAAATGAGTTCCATGCTAATGGACAGTACATCAGGGAAGGATTAATTGAAGCCAGTGTTATGCTAACAGATAACAGCTGAAAGGATTCCTTTTTGAGTCACTAATCTCTCTTCTCTCCTACTGTGACTTCTAAGTATTAGAATCCCTACAAACTGTCTTCAAACACTCAAAACCTAATCCTATAATAACTACTCAGTTCTTTGATGAATCACTGCAAGATATTTTTCTGTCCTTTAGTAGGTGGTTAATTTACTTTTAAATAAGTACTTAAAAGTAATAAACTAGACCCTGCAGGGGCTCAGCATGTCTTCGTTTTCTTCCATCAGTTTGCATAACACTTCTTTTCAGTAGTGCTCTATGCTACCAGGTCTACTGCTTGTTGATTCAAGAACTGGTAACTGTGTCCCCACAGGCCACAAAGCCTGAACTTTAAAGGTAGCAAAAAATCATAACTGTATGTGGTTTTTAGTCATAGGTCGGCCTGGGGTTATTGGCTTTCTGCAAGGCTGCTCTTGATACCAACCTATAATTGAAGTTTTTGCTCAGAGCCATGATTCCTTCAAAAGCAGTTGATAAATGTAATTTTTTTCCCTTAGGTAACAAAAGAAGAAAGAACTTTTCAAGAAATAATGAAAAGTTATAGGAATCAGCCCCAAGCTAATAGTCACGTGAGTTACATTATTTTTCCTGCTGTCCAAAAATAGTTTTTTGTGCCAATTCTTTGCTATCAAGGTATATAAAAAGTAGTTACTTGATAGTTTTACTGTAGTTTCGATTTCCTGGTTTAAAGGATGCCAGTAAACTCAAGAAATAGTTTCTTTAAAGGACAGCATAAGTAGAAGGTAGGAGACTGACTCCTGACTCACCCGTGTTGTGCTTGCTTACACTCCTCACACACTCTGGAGTAACTTCCATTCATTCTTCACTAGAAACCAGCAGGAGATAGGTATTCTAGCATTTCATTGTTTGCTTTGTTTTGTTTGAGACAGGGTCTCATTATGTAACCCTAGCTGGCCAGGAACTAACTATGTAGATCAGGTTGGCTTCAAACTCACAGAGACCTGCCTGTCTCTGCCTCCTGAGTGCTGGGGTTAAAGGTGTGCCACACCACTTGGCTACTTAAAGTATTTCTTCACTGTATGAACTTGCTTGATTCCCTAATGGTTAAAGCCAGTGAAATTTGAGGAATTGTTGACAATAGCTTCTCTTGCTGTTTGCAGAGTTGTTTCAGTTTCAGTTTAGTTTCGTTGTTTTGAGACTGAGTCTCATGTACCAGCCACCTCACGCCCAGCCCAGCCCCAGTTTTACTCAGACTTACTAACAGAGCTGAGGGTGACCCTGACTTCCTGATTCAGATCGCTTTCCCTCCTACTGCTGGGAAGATAGGCATGTATCACCAGGATGACTTTGCCTGAAGTCATAATGTTTGTGTCTTTGATAACTTTTCAGTGATATAGTGGCAATCCTGTTTTGATCATGGAAATAATTGTTGGTAGATGTCTTGGTACAAGGGAAATATATTTAATGAATACTTACTTGCCTTGCCTTTTAATTATCGGAATTAAAGAGCACAGAAAGTTACTTTAAGGCTTTGGCCATTTAGTCTAGTTGCTCTGCCAGGTCCTCTTTTCTGAGCCTGGAGTTCGTAGACAAATAGTGAGAGTTACAGCCAGTAATCAGTAATCGTACCTCTGAAGCCCAAATTACTCTCTCTTTTCTTAAGCCCCAAACACACCAATAGTGAAAAGTAAAGAAACATTTGAAAGTATAGATATTTGTTAAACACTGGCTGATTTTCTGGGCATCTTTAGGAAAGTTCCCTGGAACAAGGTGCCCTACCTTGAGGTTAGCGTGGTTCCAAACTGAGCCAAGCCGCTGCTTGTTGAGTCACCTCGCCGCACCTTAGAAGATAACTTAGAAGATAAGGGGGATGGACTTCTAGCCTTCTTTTAGGAAAGACTTTAGGGACAGGGAAGGACCTTTGTTTTTAAGTGTGGTTTCCTGGAAGGAGGTGGGGAATTGCTAGCTACAGACCAGTGAGATAACTGACTAATGTGATGAGTTATAAGTTGGGGTTTGCTTTTATTTGGTGAAACTTATTTATCATGGGTCTCTGGTTAGGACTTAATTTTTTCTCAGTTTTGTAAACTAAATTATACATTTTATGTAAGAGGCTCTGCCTCAATTTTCCTTCTCTATGATATTTCCCATAATCTGTACTTAGGAGAGTTAATATGATTTTAAGTGGTTTGGTGATACCCCACATGAGAGATATTTCTTTACTGAGTTGGTTTTGTTCTTGTTTTGGTTTTGTTTAATTTGTATCTCTTTATGACTAAGTGATCCCTCCCCTTTGGCTTGTAGGTATACAGGAGTGTTCTCTTGAAAAGCATTCCAGGAGAAGTTGTGGTGTACAGTGGTGATTATGAAATGACCGATGGTGGTAAGTCTATCCGCCTCATAAGCCGTACATAGTGCACCTTTGACTACATTGTACACAGTATAGTAGGCATCAGCCAATATGGACTCATAATGTAGGTGGAATTCGCATACAGTCACTGTTCTTAAAGCCTTACTATTTGTGTGTGAGAGAGTGACTCTGTGTGTGTGTGTGTGTGTGTGTGTGTGTGTGTGTGAGAGAGAGAGAGAGAGAGAGAGAGAGAGAGAGAGAGAGAGAGAGAAAGGGGGAGGAGGGAGGGAGGGAGACAGTCTCTGACTATAGGTCCTATGGAGGCCAGACAAGGATATTGGGATCCTCTGAGCTAGACTTACAAGCATTTGTCATCTGTCTGATGTGAACCAAACTGTGTCCTCGGCAAGGGCAGGACATGCTTTTCTCCAGTTCATTTCTCCAACCCCTCCATTTTTTCCCTTGTAGTGCTAGAGATTCAGCCCAGAGCAGGCTAGGCAAGCACGCTGCCACTGCACTACACTCTCAGACCTAAAGGCAGTTTTTAGATTGCACAGCTCTGTATCACTATAGTGTTGGGTTGGTTAGGATTGATTGTTAACTTGACAAGATCAAGAATCACCTAGTAAGCCCCCAGGCGTGATTACGAGGGATTGTCATAACGAGGTTCATCGAGGTCGGCAGAGAAAAGCAGCACGGTCTCCTGAGGTTGGTCCTAGACTTCTCATAACAGGAGGAATCCATCTGCTTTCTGACTGTGATGCATCGTGGCCAGCTGCGTCAAGCTCCTGCTGCCTTGACTTCCCTGTCCTGATGGACTGTGCCCTCAAACCATGCACCAAACAAACCCCGTCCTCCTTAAGTGCTTTCAGATACTGTATCATAGCAGCAGTAAAAGTAACAAAGACAGGTCTACTGGGGTGTAAATTTAGAAGATCTCAGTCAACAAAATCCCAGTGTGCTCAGTTTGGGGGGGCAGCAACACATACCTGAGACAAGCATTTAAAAGAAGGAACAAAAAAAAGATGAGATTTATTTTATTAAATGGAGTCAGAGTTCTCATTCCACAGTCAACTGACCTCATCAGTTCTGGGCTATCAGGAGGCAGACATCACGGTGGATGACAGGGAAGGAGGTGGGAGAGACTTACCCTGAATATAACTTTTAAGTGCCCACCTCTAGAGACTTTCTTACTTTATCCTAAAATTTCCACTTTCTCCCAAAACAATGCCAGCTGGGAATCAAGGCTTTAGTTGTGAGCCTATAGGGGATGTTTCAAATATAAACTGTAACACCATTTAATAATCTTTCAGAATCTGACTTCAGGATATGTGGACAACATTTACTTATTTTTACTTAAGTATATTATTCCTGAGACAATGGGAAATAACATAAAAGAGTAAACAAGGTGAAATTGCAGCAACTTCTGGTTACTTCACCTATTCTGGTGTTGGTTTGTTTGTGTGTTTGTTTCCTTTTTTGAGACAGGATTTCTAGCCCAGGCTTATCTCATCCTTGTATATCAGACTATGATCTTGCAATTCTGGTTCTTCCACTTCCCGAGCCCTGGGTTGAATGCTTGTGGCACCACATAGTTTATGGATCGTAATCTGAGTCTTCTCAATCTGAATACTAATGACAGTCTGTGCAGAGGAACCAGCTGCAGGCATTGAGTTGTCCCTTAAGAAGCTGGATGTGGACTTCCCACACATGTTCCAGCCAGTCCCCTAAGACATAGAACTGCTTCTGTTATGTTGTTTGCTCAAATGTTCGTATATCTCCTGGGATGTAGAACTCTGGGTCTAACCACAAAATCCAAACCAAAGAGCCAAGCTAAAGTATCTAGTATGTTTTTCTGTAACACTGACATTTATAATCTTAAGAAAATGTTAAATAATTAGAGTCCATTCATTTAATGAGATTGACCTACTTTAGCTATTACTAAATTTCAGAGTTTATTTTCTGTTACTATAACAAGATACCTGAAATTGCATAGTTAAGAAAAAACAAAAATGTATGTCTTACACTTGTAACGGTTGAAAAGCTCAAGATTGAGGGACCATTTCTAGCAAAAGCCTTCTTGTTGATGGGGAGGTTTTGCAAAATTCTGCACTTGTGCAGGGTACCACATACAAAAGCAGCAGCGTCTCCCATAGGCAGGGCCAAATACTCAGCTCGCTTATTTTATTTGTAAGGACTGGAATCTTGGGGTTTTCCGTTTTTTAATTTTGTTATATGTGTAGATGCTGCATGTCTGTGCACCACATGCATACAGTACCCTTGGAGGCCAGAAGAAGGTGTCAGATCCCCTAGACCTATACAGGGTGTGAGACACCTTGTGGATGCTGGGGGCTAAACCGAGGTCCTCCTCTGTAAGAGCAGTGCATGCTTTTAACCACTGGACTATCTCTTCAGGCCATTTGGTTTTAAATATATTTCTTAGAATGTGTGTGTTATCTGTGTGTGTGTACACATGTGTACAGGTGTCCATGGAGGTCAGAAGAGCACTTTCCTAGCATGTGCAGGTCCTAACTTCAATCCCCAGCACTTGGCTATGGGAGATGACATTTTCATGGCCCAGAGCTATTTTAGTTTTCTGGTTTTCCTAAGGAAAAGGGATACTTCAACCTGTTGAAAATAAGAACTCATCTTTGATATGTTGAATTTCTTTTAATTGGCAATAGGTTCTTCACTACTATAAAGATATAGGCTGGGCATGGTGGTACACACCTTTAATGTCAGCATTGAGGAGGTAGAGGCTGGTGGATCACTGTGAGTTCAAAGAAAGCCTGATCCACAGAGCTAGTTCTAGGACAGCCAGAGATGTTATACAGAGAAACCATGTCTCAAAAAATAAAAAAAATTTTTTTAAAAAAAGGAAGAAGCAGGTGACTCTGTACAAGTCAGCGGAAGTTTATAGACTTTCTTTAAACAATGAGTGCTGGGAGCCTGCCCGGCCTAGGGTGGGCTTGAAGTGAGACGCAGCTTCCTTTGAAGACTAGTAGTCTCCGGCCTTCTAGCTCTCTAACTGCACTGAATGCTTGCTGATAACTTCTAAAAGATTCTAGAAACTTTCTTGCTTATTATTTAAAAACACTGGCTTCTGTTTCTCTTTAACTCTGATTTATTAAGCATTATAACTCTCTGTATAACTCTTTATGCTTAAATAACTGCTAGGGAAACAAACTTAACTTTTTCTTGCTCTGTGCAAAGAACTTAACTCTTTCTTACTTGTGCCTTAATAAGCGCTAATATCTGGCAGTAACACATACTGTTTAGCAGCAGGAAATTAGGATTTATTACTGCTGGTGTTCCTTTCTCTAGTGAATCAGCCAGAACCCTCTCTGGCTAAGCTGATTAACTCTTTGTGAACCAGAGAGGAAGAAAAGGAAAAGAATTAAAATGCTGTATACAGGCAAATATGCACAGACACATATGCATTCAAACATTCTGGCCAGGCCCGACTGTCACAACTCCACAAGTATTCATACATGCTTACATACATATACATATACCTACATATGTACATATAGACAAACAGACATATACATTTGGATGGATGGATGGATGGATGGATGGATGGATGGATGGATGGATGGAGCAGAACTCCCTAAGCCAAACCATTCAACCAACAATTTTTTTTCTTTTATCTGGTCTTTTATACCTTCTTAGACAAAAAGTTCTTTACAAAATTACCTCATAGATAAAATGTTACATAGAATGGGAGTTACTGAAGGATGTTGATATTAAGTTTAAAGCAGTGCTTCATTAGAATATACTCATTGAAAGTTCAAAGCAACAGTTTTTACATGGCCTTGCCCTATCATAGTGCACACCTGTGACTTTATCCTTGGACCTAAATGTCTTTTCTTGAACATAAATTTTTCCCAAACCTATTTCTCTTTTTAGTGTAGTTATGAGAGCTCACTGTATTTCTTATTATGCAGCCTTTACTTACTATTATGAGGAGTAGGCACATTCTATTCTTGATTCTAATTTTATTACATTTTTCTAGTACCTAAGACCATCTCTAAAAACTTTCTTCCTAAAATTATTTGAATCAAATCAGGAATTCTATAGAATCATTATCTATTTGTCTATATAGCATGACTACAAGGTAGTAAGTACATCTTTGTAGGTCTGTAGAAATCTGCTCAAAAGGGTGGGTCAGTACCTAGTGATTGTTATATATTTAATAATAACAGGAAGAACATATTAATATCAGGAATTTTCCCTCAGATTTAATGTCCTTGGTCTTGCCTAAAGAAGCAAATCCATCATTGTCTTAGAATTTTACTGCTGTGAACAGACACCATGACCAAGGCAACTCTTATAAAAATATTTAATTGAGGCTGGCTTACAGGTTCAGAGGTTCAGTCTATTATCATCCAGGCAGAAACATGGCAGCATCCAGGCAGGCATGATGGAGGAGGAGCTGAGAGTTCAACATCTTTATCTGAAGGCTGCTAGCAGAACACTGACTTCCAGGCAGCTAGGATGAGGGTCTTAAAGTCCACGCCTATAGTGACACACCTACTCCAACAAGACCACACCTACTCCAACAGGGCCACACCTCCAAAAAGTGCCACTTCTCCGTGGGCCAAGCAGATACAAACCATGACAGTCATACATTGACAGTCTATGGTGGAACATCTCAGGAAGATCACCTTTGAGGTTTTAGCTTCTCCTAGATGGCTCCTGGCAAATGAGCAGACTGCAGCTCTGCTTGAGGTCAAGAGTCTATTGGAGTAGTGCCTGCAGATAAGACAGCACCTTGGAGTGAACTTTGTTCTCTTTTTTTAACAGCTGAAGGGATAACAATTGAAGACTAGCATTCCTGTTATACAGGAGAAACAAGAGTCCTAGAATGTGCTAGCCAGTTCTGGCTCAGGCCTAAATCCCAGCACTCTGGAGGCTGAGGCAGGAAGAGGGCTACAAGTTTGAGGTTATCTTCTACTACAGAATAAAACTTTCCAAAAACAAACAACAAACCCTACAACTTACACTCCTTGCATTTGCAAAAAGATAAACACAAGCAATTTATCTTGTTGTTGTTGTTGTTGTTGTTGCTTGAGCCAGGGTCTTACTGTGTAGCCTCAGCTGGCCTGGAACTCTTATGTGCTACCATCAACCATGTGCATGACCACACCTGGCTCACTTTGTGCCTTTCTTAACCTGTAAATCTGTGCCTCCAGGATGAGTGTCTGTGGGCCTTCTTGGACTCTGAATCAGGGTGTTTCACTGCCGCCCACTTTAAAGTTCCTTAAGACCTAACCAGAGCTCGTTCCCTTTAATAAAGGCCATAGGTGACAGGGAGCTCCAAAACTGCCCTTGTGAAATGTGTTTTGTGAGCTGTCACTAGAGAGAATAGCACCACATTCAGTCCAACATTTCTTTCTTTCTTTTTTTTTTTTTTTTTTTTTTTTGGTTTTTCGAGACAGGGTTTCTCTGTGTAGTCCTGGCTGTCCTGGAACTCACTCTGTAGACCAGGCTGGCCTCGAACTCAAAAATCCACCTGTCTCTGCCTCCCAAGTGCTGGGATTAAAGGCGTGCGCCACCACCATCCGGCTCAGTCCAACATTTCTCTACATTCTGCTTGGATTATTTCTTTAACAGTCTCATGGTATAGCCCAGGCTACCTTGAACTCTTGATTCTTTTTTTACAAGGATTTGTGTTTCTTTTTAATTGTGTTAAAAGGAATGTAATCCAAGTTATTAATTTAATATTACAGAATACCTATCACAATGCTGAATTATTCTTAACAGACATAGAAGATGCCACCAAAACTCCCAACTGTTCCAGTGAACCAGTGAAAGAGGAAAGAGGCGATCTTATCAAATTCTACAATACAATATATGTAGGAAGAGTGAAGTCATTTGCATTGAAGTATGATTTGTCCAATCAGGACCATATAGTAAGTTATAAGTCTTGCTACTTTCTTCAAAATTTTTTAAATTTTAATTAAACTGTATTTATATAATTTCTCCCTTCCACTTTCAGTCCCTCCCATGTCCACCACAACCCCCTCTCAAATTGATGACCTCTTTTTCTTTATTATTATAACATGGGTGCGTGTGTGTGTGTGCGTGCATGTGTGTGTGTGTGTGTGTGTGTATCTATCTATGTGTGTGTATATGTGTACATATATATGTATATACGTATGTATACATACATAAATATAACCCGCTGAGCCCATTGAAGTTTGCATTTATATGTATGGTTTCAGGAATGGCTATTTTTTATTGGACAACCAGTAGACAATAGAAATAGAATTTTGTTTCTTTTTTATTGTACATGTATGCATGTGTGCATAAGTTTGTGTTTGTTTGTGATAGGGTCTCACTATGTAGTTCTGCCGGTTCTGTCCTGGAACTCACTATGTAGACCTTTCTGCCTCCCAAATGCTGGGATTAAGCACATGTGGCATCTCACTCACACCTGACCTGGATTTTGTTTCTTTTTTTTTTTTTTTTTTTTTTTTGGTTTTTCGAGACAGGGTTTCTCTGTGTAGCCCTGGCTGTCCTGGAACTCACTCTGTAGACCAGGCTGGCCTCGAACTCAGAAATCCACCTGCCTCTGCCTCCCAAGTGCTGGGATTAAAGGCGTGCACCACCACCGCCCGGCCTGGATTTTGTTTCTTATGCCATTCAGCTAACCTGTGTTTTTTGATTGAAGAGTTTAGTCCATTAATATCTTTTAAGTTATTGTTGACAGCTCTGTGTTGATTGCAGTTGTTTTGTTGGTTGTTTGGTTTGTTGTTGTTTGTTTTCTGTTTGTATTCTTATTCATGCTTTGCATTTCATTCATGGCAGCTTTGTTTGGTTTTTTTCTAGTGTTTCTTGGCTAGGTTTCTTCCTCTTTTTAGTCCAAAGTATTGCTGAGTATTCTCCTTAGGGTTGCTTTGGTGAGCATATTTTTTGTTGTTGTATTGTGGCAACTCTGGCAGATACCTTTGCTGGAGCAGTAATCTGGGCCATGGTCTTTTAGAATGTTTGAGTGCATTTCTCCAGACTCTTCTGACTTTCAGTTTCCATTGAGAAATCAGCTATTTTTCTGATGGTTTTATATATATATAGCTTTTTATTTTTCCTCTTTCAGTTGTTAATATTTTCATTTTTTGTTCTGTGTATTTAGTGTTTTAACTATGATATGCCTTGGAGAGTTTATTTTCTGGTCTTGTCTAGTTGGGGTTCTGTATACTTCTTATATTTGTATGGGTGTGTCTTTTCTTAGTTTAGGGAAGTGTTCTCTGATCTTTTCGTGCCATTAACCTGACATTCTCTTCTTTTTTCTATTTATCTCTTCAAAGATTTGTTTTCATAGTTTATCATAGTTCCCGTATGTTCCTTTTAAACATACAGAAGACTGCTCAGATGTGAGTAAAAGCCAATAGAAAGTCATTATTAGGCTGGCAACTACACAAGGTCTTTGGGACCCCAGTGTAGCTCTCAGCCTTTCTCAGGGAGAGCTTTTAAGCACAAAAACTATATCCCAAGTTGACATATTTCAGCTAACAAGAACAGTTAGCCAGAAGCAAAACTACAGAAGCCAAAAGGTTAATACATTAGGGACGTTCCAAGAATTTGGACTTTGATAGATTAAGCCTGTTTTAGTCTTGGCAAGCAGTGCTGTCTATGTGTTTTCAGGCTAGATAGACAGCCTGAATGGTGCTTCCCTCATGGAGTCAGTTGGCCATATAGTTTAAGATGTAGGGATCTACCATTAATCCAATCAGAATGAGAACTGAGTAGTAAGCCAGGGAGACCTAGAGAACAGAGACTGGCACCAATTGTCTAATTTTTGAGGTTTTTTTCCCCAACCATGGCAAGATTTTTTTAATTACTCCTGATCAGTTAGCAAAGAAACATGGGGTTTCTCCCAGAGCCACACATAGTTTATCTCTGTGTTGTGAGGAGTAAGTCTAAGCCTCTCTAATTTTGTAGGATCATTTCTGCAAAGAAAGGTAACTTGTTTTAATTCAGAAACAAATGTTTGCTATCTCTATGTCCTGATAAACCTGTCTATTTAGTTTGAAAGCATCAGAAGAGGCCCATTTAATTAAACCATTAGTACGTGTCCACCAAGTCGTCTTAGGGGCTTGATGATATTTCTCGTTTCCAAGTGACTTATCCCACAAGGCAAAATAGCAGAATAAGGGAAATGTCTAGGTTCTTGGTTGGCTATTGGGCAAGTTTCAGCCCCTTCTAAGGCCTCTAATGTTAATTTGGGTTTTCCCCAGTCACATTGAGTGTTGTTAGTGGGAGTGTGCTGACAGTTTAGTTAGTTCCTATCCCTGTGTAGTATGGTGGCTGAATGTCTGATGGCTGGTTTCTGACTATAGATGATTAACTCTGTCCCCAGAGTCCCTTCCTGTGGCAGAGTGTCTGATTTCCCAGGTTTTCTCCAAAGTCCAGAATCTTTTCTAAGTAATTTTTCAGGAAACGTCAGTTTTGCAACCCCAGTTTTTGCAATGGAAACTCCCTTGTTTCTGGCAACTAGGAGGCCCCGCTATACAGTATGCATAGAATTGTAAACTCCATATTCCTATCTCAAAAGTGAACTCTTACATCTTTCCTTTCTCCAGTACAACCAGGCATTTAAGTGGGTATCAGTCAATAAAGTTACAGGTGGAACATGGGCTGCTGGTCAGTAGTCACACTAGCTATTACCTCCTGTCTGTCTTCCTCAGTTCCCAGATCCAGGCCTGAGGGCAGTGGGGGTTAGACCGTAACCCTGTATTTATATCAAACATAAGACTCAGGAGGAGGTAGAGTAGAAGGGCCCCAATGAAATCTTAAGTTTTTAAATTTTTTATTTATTTATTTTTTAATGTTTTTGAGTACACTGTCACTGTCTTCAGATACACCAGAAGAAGGCACTGGATCCCATTACAGATGGTTGTGAGCTACCATGTGGTTGCTGGGAATTGAGCTTTGGACATCTAGAAGGGCAGTCAGTGCTCTTAACCTCTGAGCCAATTCTCCAACCCTAAACCTTAATTTTAATTCGTCAGTAGTGCAGAGACAGTCCATTGGCACTGGTGTCCATGGCTTTCATCTTCTTGACCTAGGTGTGGTGGCTCCCTGGTGTAATGCCAGCTACCTTCACAGCTGTAGGAATAGAGAGAATCACTTTGTAGGATCCTTTCCAAATTGGTTCCAGAATTCTGGTGTTCCTCAATGGAGAGTGTCTCAATGGCGTGAGGCGCTGTGAGTATAAGATCCTGACTCAGAATTCATTTATTTGTTGAGTTTTGTTTTGTTTTGTTTTGTTTTGTTCCTCCATTAGACTAGCAGTAGCCATCACAGCTCTTAGATAGGCTACAGGAGCCAATCATTTGGACAGTTATGTCATAGGACATCTCCAAAGCTCTAAAGTTTGGGTTAAAACCCCTTTTGTAGGGCTGGAGCTAAAATCAGAGTTGTTTTTAAAGCCTCAAATGCCTTTTGTTTAGTCTCAGTTGAGATTCTGGGCTTGGTGCCCACTCTGTGCTGGTGTGTAGAAGCCTTGCTGTTTCCACAAACTAGTATCCAAAGGCACCTGCACCTGAAACGCTTGAGCCTGTCACTTAGCCTTTGAAATTGAGATCTGAAGGATGACACAATCCTACTCTGAGACAGGCTCCTTTTGCCTCCCTCAACTAGTAGCCAAGATGGTAGCCTCTGATGTACAAAGTTGGGCTCTCTGAGCTGATATTCTATGGCCCAAGGTCTGTAACTCTTGCAGCACTCTCTAAGCGGCCCTTTTATAATCTGTTTTCTTTGACAAACTTCTCTGCTAGTGAGAGGCTGAAGAAAGCATCTATCAGGTCACAGTGTACACCTGTTTTTCCGGAAGAATGAGACGAGAGAATCAGAGGTCCCAGGTTTCTTCACAGGCAGAAATATATTACAGAGTGACTGGTAGGGCACCGGAATACCTGTCTCTAACCTAGGTAACATAGACTGCAATTTCCCTTTGTGTTTCCAGGGTCATTGGATATTGTTTAATCTGGACTGGAGTAGCTGAACTGATCAGTTAAACAAGAGTAAAAGCTTGGTGTTGGGCCAGTTCTGGGGGGTTGATTCCTGCCCGTATCCTGGGAGTCTTTGTTGTCAGTCCGAGATAGTCTAACTGTATATTTTGGTTTGAGGCAGTATTCTTCTGACAGAGGGTAAGACACCACAGTTTTGCTGAGTATCCATAAGTCTAACTGCATCTCATCATAGGAGGTGATGGTGGCTTTCAGTTCATGCAAAAGATCTTATCCTAGTCAGCTCTCTAACTGTTAAACATGTTCTGAGTTACCTTCAACAACTGGGATCTATTTGTACCTTCAAATTTTTCTAAGTTTTACAGTTGTTTTTCTGATATCTAAGCTGACTGTGTGACAAAGGAAATCTTTTCAGTGAAAATTGTTTGAAGTCTCTCTCCTTGGTCAGTGTTGAGCAGAAGGGGAAATCCATTTTGTTCAGCAGTGGCTCCCACGCCAGCTGTTGTTACACATGAGTCACGAAGGAGGGAGGACTGGAACTTCTTTCCTCCTTCCCTGAGACTGCTTAGAGCAGGCAGGGGAGCAGAGGGAGAGGACACCTCAGGACCTATTTCTCCCTCCCTGTGTGCTTAGATGTCAGCTCATCCCCTATGAGAGGCCCAGCTCCTCCCTACCTCCCCCTACAGGAACTAACCCTACCCAGACCAGTCAGGGAAGAAACAAGGGAGTGCTCTGGCGTAAGACAGATGAAGGACTTTTTGAGTTTTTGGTTTTTTGTTTTTTGTTTTTAACAGTCTGGCAGAGCCAAAAGGATTCTGGTCCCCAACAAGGAAGCAAATCTTAAGTCGAGGTCAAGGTGGGAGTGGTTCTCACACCAGATATAGCCACTGGTCAATCCAGGGAAACAGAACTGACAAATACATGGAAACACACTGAGGGGGGGGGAGAGAGGGAGAGGGAGAGGGAGAGACAGAGAGAGAGAACAGAGGGAGGGAGAGAAGGAGGGAGGGAGGGAGGGAGAGAGAAGACAGCCAGCAGGTGTGGCCACTACACATTTATACACCTGAACAGAAGGGAGATCCAGTGAGGATCCAGACACTGGATCAGCAGTTCTGACTTCTGATATCCAAACAGAAGGCTTCTTAACCAAACTTCCCTCAAGAGGTGAGAGACCAGGCAGCTTTTTAATTTGTCTCCTTTTGGGGTGGAAGTGTCAGATTCCTCCACAGCTTTAAGCAGTGAATGATCAAAGGGAGTCTTGGGGATGTGGGACTTAGGTTATCCTCGGAGCTCCTTGAACACTGCACGGACTCTTCCACAGTCCAAGGGCCTCAAAAACAGACTCTCTCTGGGGATCTCAGTGGACCCTCCAGAAATGTGGGGCATTCACCAGAGAAAACTGCTTAGACATGGGTTTAAGCCAATAGAAAGCTTTTATTAGCCAGCCAGCAACCTACACTGGGTGTTTGGGATCCCAGTGTAGCACTGAGCCTTTCTCAGGGAACACTTTTAAGCATAACAACCCTGTCCAGGATTGACATACTTCAGTTAATGAGCACATTTAGCCAAAAGCAGAACTATAGAAGCCAAAAAGCCATGTGAATTGCAAAACTATATGGACGTTGGTGGATTAGGTTTCTGTTTTAGTTTTAGCAGGTGGTGCTGTCTGTGTGCTGAGTTTTACAGCCTGAATGGTACTTCCATCATGGAGTCAGCTGTGCTAAGGTCTGAGGCCTGTTGCACCCTCCCTGTGTTTTTGAAAATGGTTTTATACCCTTTCCTTGCATGGTCTAGTTCTTTTCCTTTGTTTTTGAAACCCAAATCTGTCTTCTCCTTGCCAGGCTTTCCCTGAGCTCTCTTGTTGGAACACTGACTTTTTCAGTTTCATCCTCATTTCCGCTTGAGCTTTCTTCAGTGGTCTCTTTATTGAACCCAGGTTCAAGTCCTGGACTGTACATGTCATTTCATTTAGCCTACTTGCGCTTTCTTGGGCATCACTCAAGAGTTTGATTTTGTTCATCTTTATCAGCAGTGAGACTTGGTTGTGGGTGTTTTTTTGTGGTGGTACAGGGTCTGGTATGGCTGTTTTAAGATACCTGGAATTGAGTGAGCCCAACCCCTATTCTCATCTCTATGGTACGAACCCCTGTACCATCCTGTGATTCCTGTGATTTGTGCCTGTGGTTTGTCCCAGTCGCTTATTTTCTGGTCATTGTTTTGGAGAGACAGAGCCCGAGTGTGGGATTACAAACATGCCACTGTGCCCAGCTTGTCCAGGATCTTCAAAACTAGGTACAGGATTTCTCGGGTGATTGAAGAAGATAAGCTTTAGCTTGCTTATCAGTAGTTGATAAAAACAATGAGTAATAATGTTTTTGCGTTTTCAGCCATAAGTAAGCCCTTGAAATATAATATCTTCTAACAAAGAATTGCTACAAAGATAACAATATGTTTTTTTATCCTTTTGTCTTAAAAAATCTGATTTCTGGGTCACTTTAGATGGATGCTCCACCCCTCTCTCCTTTCCCACATATTAAGCAGCAGCCGGGTTCCCCACGCCGCATTTCCCAGCAGCATTCCATTTACGTTTCTCCACACAAGAATGGATCAGGCCTCACCCCCAGGAGCGCACTGCTGTACAAGTTCAATGGCAGCCCTTCTAAGGTACAGTGCATACTCTTGTAAGGTAGCGCACCTCTTGTATACACTTGTTCAGTGCTGGATTGCAGGTTACAATTTTCAAGTAACTATGAAAAATTTGGATTTCAAGTAACTTCACCAGCCAGCAGTCATTCATCTTTTTGTTATAAAATTACCACTAATAAAATATAAACTGCTAACTGTACCATGCTTGTATGACCAGAAACACTGTTATTACTATGTATGGTGGAACATACCTGCAATGCCAGCACGCAACTCTTGAGTTGCTTGAACAGTCTCAGAAGTGAGGCTAATGGAGGATGCTAAGACCTAGTGTTGGGAAAGGAAGTTTTTTAGAAAGGTGGTTAACAACATTCCAACAGTGTGTAGGAGCTCTGCAGAGAGTGCAGGCCCCCAGTGCCAGAGACAGACACCATGGCAGGGCTGTGGAACCTCTGAAATGGAGTCAGGCCCATCAGGCAGGAGTGGGGCTTTGTACAGGATTCTAGAGAGCCAGGCTCTCTGATTCTTTAGCAAGGCAGGGAAGTGGGTGGAAACAGGAGGTGTGACCACCAGTGCCTCTTTGATGTATCCTCCAAACCTGCGTTCTCTCAGGTACCTTTAAATAGTTAGCTGGAGATTCACAGAGAGCACTGTCAATAGGGTGCCTGTCACATCTTGAGGAAGGGAGTGGATGCTGTGGGTATTGTGACTTGAACAGCAGTCTGATCTGCATCTTAACAATGCCAAGGCAGGAAGATTTTGAGTTCAGGTCCTGCCTGGACTACACAGTAAGACAGTGTCTCCCAGAAAGAGCAGTGTTTGCTTTGGCAGATGTACCTCACTGGTAAAGAGCTTGGGAAGCATAAGCTAGTCCTTGGGTTTGATCCTAGTACCACAAAAGGAGAGGAGAGGGAGAAGAGCATCACGTTGAGTTGAGGTGCCTTAGTCTATTGTGTCTCATGTACATCTCAGGGAGGGGTAAGGTGTTGGTTTTTAGGGTGTTTGTTTGTTTGATATTGTTTGTTTTCAAAACACTTTCTCTGTGTAGCCCTGGCTGTCCTGGAACTCACTCTGTAAACCAGACTGGCCTCAAACTCATAGAGACCCGCCTGCCTCTGGCTCCCAAGTGCTGGGATTAAAGGCCTGTTCACTGCCTGCTTTGTTGTTGTTGTTGTTGTTAAAGATGTTGGGTTTTGTTTGTTAAATTTTACTTTATTATTTTTTGTGAGTGTTTTGCCCTCATCTGTGTCTGTGTACCACTTGTGTGCTTGGTGCTTTTGGAGACTAGAAGATGGAATTGTGTACTCTGGAGCTGGAGTTTTGGACCTTTGTTAGCTGCCATGTGGGTGCTAGGAATTAAACCTGGATCCTTCAGAAGAGCAGGCAATGCTATTACCCACTAACCCATTTCTCTGGCCCCTGTTTGTTTTGTTTTGGGCTTATTTTGAGAAGTGTCTGAGCAGATGTCCGAGCTGCTGTCAGACTTCTGAGGAGCTGAGCTCATGCTTACGTGGAAAGTGCTGACTTATTGAACGGCTTTGAAAGTTTAGAGCATTAGATGGATGACAGCCAGGTTCGTGAAGAGTTAGAAAACAGGGCCTTTATGGAGAGACTGGCTTCACCTTTACCCAGTGTATTGATGGAGACATGTCAGAGATAGGCTTTTTCAGTATTTTTAGGACTACACAGCTGAATCTTAAGTTTCTAGAAGCCACAGTGTTATTTGGACAAATTGTGAGTGTCAGTGCAATAACAGCTCCTTAACTCCTCATTTTCCTGTTTGGTTCCATGCATGCTGAGGTCTTACTATACTGACCAAGCAAAACTGACCAAGATGAGACCTGTCCCATAAAGGTCTTTAGAAGATATTAGACCATCTGAGATCCAGGGCAATGACTCCTGAATCAGAGGTAGAGTCACCTGGACAGCTTCCCTGTCCTGCAGACCTGTGGACTAACAGAGCTAGCCCTGTCCTGCAGACCTGTGGACTCACAGAGCTAGCCCTGTCCTGCAGACCTGTGGACTCACAGAGCTAGCCCCATCCCGCAGACCTGTGGACTCACAGAGCTAGCCCTGTCCTGCAGACCTGTGGACTCACAGAGCTAGCCCTGTCCTGCAGACCTGTGGACTCACAGAGCTAGCAGGCAGGGCAGGTAGAGTATTGTCAACAACTGGGATGCAGTTTCAGGAACCACTTCTCCTGGGTCTATAATGTCAGCATTACCTTTGGTGACTCACAGACTCCACACCAGCTAAATCTGAGTCATTCCCAGGCATCAGAGTGTAACAGCATTACTGTGTTAAACCAGGAATAGAATGTGTCAGTCTGAGGCAGACAGACTTTCAGTAGTTAAAGCCAGTCTGACACTGTCTCAGAGAAAAGAGAAGGACCAATAAGTTGGTTCATCAGGTTAATGCCCCTCCCACCAAGCCTGATGACCTGACGTATATCCCTGAGACCTTTGATGTCTACATGTGCACTACATATGTACATGCTCTCACAACAGAAACACACACACACACGCTACTCTGCTTCCGAGGACTTACATTCAATTCCCAGCAACCAATCAGTGGCGCATAACCATCTCTAATGCCAGTCTCAGAGGATCTGACACTCTCTTCTGGCCTCTGTGGGCACCAGGCATGCACGCAGCATACATACAAATATGCAAACAAAGCATCCATACACATTAAATAAGTAAGTAATAAGTGAAGAGATTTTTAACAAACAAACTTGGATTGCAGCTGGCAGTGAGTAAAAGCTCTTTCTGGCTGTACTGCCTGGTTTTATGTGTCAACTTGACACAAGCTAGAGTCATCATCAGAGAGGAAGGAGCCTCAGTTGAGGAAATGCCTTCATGAGAACCAGCTGTAAGGCATTTTCTCAACTAGTGATCAGTTGTGGAGAGCCCAGCCCATTGTGGTTGGTGCCAGCATCCCTGGTCTGCTGTAATCCTTTTCTACAAAAAAAAAAAAAAAAAAAAAAGCAGGCTGAGCAGGCCAGTAACCAGCACCAGTCTGTGACCTCTGCATCAGCTCCTGCCTCCAGGACTCTGCCCTGTTTGCGATCCTTATTGACTTTCGAATCTTCAATGATGGACAGTGATCTGGAAGTATAAGCTGAATAAACCCTTTCCTCCCTAACTTGCTATTTGGTCATGGTGTTTTGTTGAGGCAATAGAAACCCTAAGACACCGCACAGTCCTGATGACCTGAATTCCATCTCAGGAACCCACACTGGAAAGGGAGAAACCGACTTCCAAAAGTTGTTCCCTGACCTCTGTACACATGCCACAGCAATAATGTAACACACACACACACACAATAAACACAGCATGGATTGCTAGGCCCTACCACAAAATGTCTGACTAAAAATGTTTAGTGGGTGGTAAACCTTGGGAATTTGCATTTGTAACATCAGTTCCTCAGTGCCTCTGCTACTTCTGGTCTGGATTTTGAGAGCTAGTGTTAAAAGGTACATCGTCTTTTAAAACCACTCAAAAACCACCACTGGAAGTTGGTTTAGATTCAAAAGATAATCTCTATACCAGTGCTTAGATTGGGGTAAAGATAGGAGGGAGAAAAGAGAGTTAGTTTAGTTGTTTACATAAAATTTCCTTTTCCTGCCTTTTACACGAGCCCTCTTGTGTTTGTAGAGTTTGAAAGATATCAACAACATGATCAGGCAAGGTGAGCAGAAAACCAAGAAGCGTGTGATAGCCATCACTGGAGATGCAGAATCACCTGCCAAACGTCTCTGCCAAGAGAACGATGATGTTTTACTTAAACGACTACAAGATGTTGTCAGTGAAAGAGCAAATCACTAATGCTACCCTTCGTCTGATCAAAGCACTTTTGGATTGTTCTGGAGAAAGTTGGGGGCGCCATCCTTCCCATTTTTATCACTGGGTTATACAAAAACTTGCACCAAAAGTAAGCTCCTTTTTAATAGCATTTATTCACTCTGTTTCTGACAGACGTATATTTTGAGGTAGATTAGAAAAGAATGTTTTAAGTGCCTTCATAAATAGTAATAAGGGTTTTTTTTTTAGCATTTTTTCCTAGGGTTACATTTTTTAGGATGAATTAAGAAGAAACTATTTTTTTTTAAGAAACTATTTTTTAACTATCTTTTCAGAATGATCAAATGTCTCCTATGCTTTTTAATTTGGTCAGTGAGTCTGTGAGATACTTGTCCTGTCTGCTTGTGTTGAAGGTAGGGCTAGCTCCCACAGTACAAGAGCTCACTGACGTCCCAGCCTGCCTTGGGCCTGCTGGAACAGTGGCCCCTCAGTGCCCCCAGCATGTGGGAGTCTGTGCCTGTCTTCTTCTTCTCTTTGGGTACAAGCAGCTTTGTACCTTTTAGCTCACAACACTGTAAAAGGGATACCCAGTTTTAAAACTACAATTTTCATGATATTGCCTTAATGATTTTATGTGATTGTATTCAGTCATGTAGTTCTCAAAATAAGAAACTGAATCTAAATCTAGGAGAATGAAATTCAGATAAATGAGAAATTAAATTTCCTTAGTAAAGTAGCATTATGATAAGATCATTTATTCATTCATGTTGGGCACAGTGGAACATGCCTATAATTCCAGTACACAGGAGGATTGCTGGGACTGTCCAGCCAGCATAGCTACATAGCAAGACCCTGACTCAAAAAACTAAATTATTCATTCTCATTGTTTATTTAATTTCCTGAAAATATTTGAAGCTTTTACATTAAAATCACTTCATACCTTGTAAGCAAATGTTTCCGTTTAAGAGCTGCTTTTCCTTTCTAGTTTGTATCACCCTTTGTTCCAGTAATTATGATTTCTCATGAGTCTCCCCTGGGGTGTAACTCCTGGGTCCCCTTGAGGATCTCTCCACACTGGAGGTTTAGCCTTCTAAAGAATCAGGTCGCTAGTGTTCACCTTTTCTTCTGTGTGTCTAGCATCAGATAGGGTGTTAATAAGCCATTTAAACTCATAGTTAGATAATGTATCAGTATAAATATTTTTAGCTGCAAACCTTATTTTTAAAATATAAAGTGTTGGCTTGGCAGTCTAGCTCAGCATGTCTAACATAGCCAATGCTAGCTAATTTGAATTAGTCTTAAGGTTTGGCTGCCAATTAATGATGAATGGTAACCAAAGTTTTATTTTTACATTTTAAAAAGAGGTTTGGGTTATGTTTTGCTTTTCTGAAAATTTGTGTTTTGTGTAGTATCTACACATGTTGTAATAAGCCAAATAATAGTCTGTCTTGAGTCCTTGTACATATTTCTGTGTAGCTATAACTACTGTATCACTTTCATTATTAATGTACAAAATATAAATGTAGATTTATTCAGTGACTATGTTAAAAAACTTAAGACATGAATTTACCAATTTTCAGGACTTTGTATTAATGTATATAAAATAGTTAATAAAAATTAGAATTTTTAAAACTTAAACTATTGTACTTTTTACTGTATAACTAGAAGCAAATGTACAGCTATCTAAAGTACATGTCTCGGTTGGAGAGATGTCTTAGTGTCAGAAGCACTGGCTGTTCTTGCAAAATACCACACTGAACAGCTTATAACAGCCCATATACAGTTCTACGAGATGTCATACTTTCTGCTAGCCTTCGGGGGAACCTCCATGCATGTGCACACACACACACATATGCACGTGATGGTGTGAGTGAGAATGCCCCCTACTGCCTTCCCCCCATTTATAAGCTCCTGTAGTTGAACGTTTAGATGGTATGGCCTTGTTGGAGGGGTATGTCACTGGAGGAGGGCTTTCAGGTTTCAAAATAGTCATGCTGCCTGAAAGTCCTGCTGCTAAGGTTGAAGTCTGACCTTATGGGAAAGCCCTGAGCTCAGTAAAATACAGCAGACTCTTATTGTCTTCAAGGCTTCCTCTAATCATCCTGGGGGATCCCAGACCGCACCCCTAATACCTGCGGACTGTCACCTAGCCCGGTTAGATCACAGTGCGGACTGTCACCTAGCTTCAGTTAGATCACAGTGCGGACTGTCAACCTAGCCTCGGTCAGGTCACAGTGCGGACTGTCACCTAGCCTCGGTCAGGTCACAGTGCGGACTGTCACCTAGCCCGGTTAGATCACAGTGCGGACTGTCACCTAGCCTCGGTTAGATCACAGGTTCAGCTTCCTTTCCCCAGAGAAGAACCCATTCAGCTATCGCCTGAGATTCCTGAAATACCTTACACTAGTGACCTTTGCCCACCATGGATATTTCTACCCCCTTTCTCTAAACTATATAACACTTGATTCACCCCGAGTAAAAGTAATCTGTCTCCTGAAGCTGGTACCAGTGTGTCATTATTAGTTATTACCGTTAGTACTCATAGGGCCTCTGGCCAACCCCATCTGTACCCCTGCTCCATTAGCCCTCATGGACCAAAGTCGGCCGACAAGCTTCAGGGGTAGGGAGGGTCACATCCACCATTCCCACTCTGCTCTCTGCCTCTTGCTTGCAGTTTGAGATACAGGTCTCAGCTGTTCCTGCCATCATGGCTTCTACTAGATATCATGGACTCTGGAACTGTATGGCAGTACATGCTTTTAATGAGCAGGACATAGGGGTATAGTTCAGTAGAGTTCCTGTCTAGCATGCATGAAGCCCTAGGTCTCAGTCAGCACAACATAAAATTGGGCACGGTGGTACACCTTTGTAATCCCAGCATTTGGGAGGTGGAGGGAGAAGGGTTGTTGTCTTAGTCAGGGCTTCTATTCCTGCACAAAACATCATGACCAAGAAGCAAGTTGGGGAGGAAAGGGTTTATTTAGCTTACACTTCCACATTGCTGTTCATCACCAAAGGAAGTCAGGACAGGAACTCACACAGGACAGGAACCTGGAGGCAGGAGCTGATCCAAAGGCCATGGAGGGGTGCTGCGTACTGAATTGCTCAGCCTGCTCTCTTATAAAGCCCAGGCCAACCAACCCAGGGATGATGGTACCACCCACAGCGGGCTGTACTGTAGGACTTTCTTGATTCACCAGGTTCCAATAGTGACATAGAGACTTAATGAATTGCTAGGCCTTATAGCTAGGCTTGTTCCCAACTAGCTATTTATCTTAATTAACCCGTTTATTGTAATCTACATCCTGCCATGCAGCCCATTACTTTAGTCCCAGCACCTGTTATGTCCTTTGTGTCTGGCTACGTAATCTCTCATGCTTGATTCTTTCCCAGAGTTCTTATCTCTGCCGTATGTCAGCCTCGTGTCCGCCGTCGTCGTTCCCCACCCCCCCTTTCCTCTCCTGCCCTGCTATAAGCCATCAGCTCTTTATTAAACCAATCAGAGGTGATGGAAAGGGATGTTTACAAAACACCAAGACAAGTGATGCTTCATAAAAATAACAATACCGAAGTCCAGACAGTACTCAGCACTCTGCTGGTACAGAAATAGATATTTGAATAATACAGAGACCACCTTTACTCAGTGCACAAGAAGATTGTCCCAACAGGCCTGGGCCCACCCCCATCTCTCACTAATTAACAAAATGCCCACAGGCTTGCCTGCAGCCTAACCCTAAGGCATTTTCTCAGTTGAGTTTCCCTCTCAGATTACTTCAACTTGTGTCTAGTTGATAGAAGACTATCCAGCACAGAGGTCAGGAAATTCAAAGTCATTTTCATAACAAGTTCAAATTAGAGACCAGCCTGGGCTACAGGAGACCTTGTCTCAAAAACAAGAAAAGAGACCAACAGCCTTAGGTGCCCATCAACAGATGAATGGAGTTTTAAGAATGACATACACACAATGGTATTTTATTTAGACATAAAAAATGTTAAGTCTCCCCCTCAAAAAAACAACAAGCAAACAAAAAAAAAACCCTGAACTTACTGTTAAACATTCTGGCCGGGTGGTGGTGGCGCACGCCTTTAATCCCAGCACTTGGGAGGCAGAGGCAGGCGGATTTCTGAGTTCAAGGCCAGCCTGGTCTACAGAGTGAGTTCCAGGACAGCCAGGACTACACAGAGAAACCCTGTCTCGAAAAACAAAACAAAAAAACATAATATGAGTGTAGTATGCACACACCATAAGTCTCAATTTATGTACTAAAATAACTCAGATACCACGGGCTATGTTATACATGCACATAACATTTATATTAATATCTAGAAAAAGCAAGAGTATAGTACCGAATCTGACCAACAGTTGGCCCGGTATGTGACTTCCTCCAGAGGCTCTGAGGATGCTTCAGATGAACTAATTGTAGCAGCAACTTTCCTTCCAGTTGTTGCTCAGACTCCCACGCAAAGCCATGCTGGCAAGAGACGAGCTGATGTGACTACACTTGCTTTTAGGGGCCCATACAGCGTTTAAAACGTGACTTATGATTAACTCCTCCCAAAGAGTTTATTTTGTTTTGTTTGGCTGTCCTGGATCTTGCTTTGTAGACCAGGCTTGGCCTCGAACTCATGTAGGTCTACCTGTCTCTGCCTCTAGGAGTCCTGGGACTAAAGATGGGCACCACCACACCAGGCTCTCCACAGTCTGGCCACGCAATGTCTTAAAAGCAATAGTGCTATTACTTAGCTTAAGTTATCGAAAAAATTTTCAAAGTGAATTCGGTACAAATTTCAGGGCACTTGGTTTGTGTGTGACTCTGAACCAGTAAGTACTTTTATCTCTGAGCTTGATTTCTTCATCTGTTACATGGATATGATAGCATCTGAGGTCTTTGTCCAGCATACGGTCTTTTCCTACTAGGATGAGACCTGGCTTTTTGACTAAAGGAGTTATGAGTCACCATGTGGTTGCTGGGAATTGAACTCAGGACTCCTGGAAGAGCATCAGTGTTCTTAACCACTGAGCTGTCTCTCCAGCCCGCTCTGCTCCTTCTTTGACCTCATCTCTCACTGCTTCTTCCTCTACCCTTTGCTATTTCTCAGCACCAGACATTCTTCTGCTTAGGGGAACTTGCTTCCTCTTTCTGGAACTTCTTTCTAGGCCAGATGGGTAACTCTTTCACCTCTGCTCAAATGTCAGCTCTCACAAAGGCCTGTCCTGACCATCCTACCCAACATGGTGACCCTGTCTCTCTCCTCCTGGTATCGTAGCCTGCTCTATGATTTTCTGCAGCACCAGCTTCTGACATACTAGACAAGTCTCCTATTGTTAATTACATTATTGTTCACCGCTGGCCTTCCCAGTAGAATGTGAATTCCAGGAAGCAGGGAATTTTGTCTGTATAGTTTATCGATGTGCCCTAGCTGTCCAGAGCAGTGCCAGGCAAACTCTAAGTATCCAGCAAACACTCATATTCGATGTGTGAATGAAATATATTAATAACCACATAAACTTAACCCTAGATAAGCACTTAAGGAAACTCTTACGACGATTAAAAATTATAGATACTAAGGCAAAAGTGAAATGTCTGACTCAGCTGTTATCTCTGTCTGTCGTCTGTCTGTCTGTCTGAGTTCATCATGAATAAGGGGTAAGTACTCTACCCACTGAGATATACCCTAGCCCTAACTAAATACTATTTGTGTGTCTGTGATATATGTACGTTTTGGTGTTCTGGGTTACACAAAAGACACTTTGAGCAAGTCAATTTCCAGATACCCAAACCTCTTATCTGAACTAGGAGTTATCTAAAAGAACCATTACCTAACCAATTCTCAAGCTATATGGGTCTTCCTGTCACCGCGCCCTCTAGTTAGTCTGGCTAAGGGTCTATGTATTTTGTTGATTTTGTCAAAAAGCCAGCGCCTAGTTTTGTTAATTCTTTATTTCTACTTGGTTGATTTCAGCCCTGAGTTTATTTCCTGCAGTCTACTTCTCTTGGGTGTGTTTGCTTCTTTTTGTTCTAGAGCTTTCAGATGTGCTATTTAGTGTATGACCTCTCCGATTTCTTTATGAAGGCACTCAGAGATATGAATTTTCCTCTTAGCACTGCTTTCATTGTGTCCCATAAGTTTGAGTATATTGTGCCTTCATTTTGTTAAATTCTAGAAAGTCTTTAATTTCTTTCTTTATTTCTTCCCTGACCAAGTTATTGTTGAGTAGAGAGTTGTGCAGCTTCCATATGTTTATGGGTTTTTCTGTTGTTTTTGTTGTTATTGAAGACTAGTCGTAGTCTGTGATGGTCTGATTGTATAAGGGATTAAGTCATTGATCTTGTATCTGTTGAGGTTTGTTTTGTGTCTGATTATATGGTCAGTTTTGGAGAAGGTACCATGAAGTGTTGAGAAGGTATAATCTTTTTTTTTTTTTGGGGGGGGGGGTTGAAATGTTCTGTAGATATCTGTTAAGTCCATTTGACTCATAACTTCTGTTAGTTTCACTGTGTCTCTGTTTAGCTTCTGTTTCCATGATCTGTCCATTGGTGAGAGTGAGGTGTTGAAGTCTCCCACTATTATTGTGTGAGGTTCAATGTGTACTTAGAAGTTTAGCAGTGTTTCTTTTACAAATGTGGTTGCCCTTGCATTTGGGGCATAGATGTTCAGAACTAAGAGTTCATCTTGGTGGATGTTTCCTCTGATGAGTATGATAGTGTCCTTCCCCATCTTGTTTGATAACTTTTGGTTGAAAGTCTATTTTATTGGATATTAGAATTGCCACTCCAGCTTGTTTCTTGGGATCATCTGCTTGGAAAACTTTTTCCCATCCTTTTACTTTGAGGTAGTGTCTGTCTTTGTCACTGATGTGTGTTTCCTGTATGCAGCAAAATGCTGGGTCCTGTTTACATATCCAGTCTGTTAGCCTATGTCTTTTTATTGGGGAATTGAGTCCATTGATGTCGAGAGATATTAAGGACCAATGATTGTTGCTTCCTGTTATTTTTGTTGTTAGAGGTGGAATTATGTTTGTGTGTTTCCCTTCATTTGTGTTTGTTGTGAGATTAATTTCTTGCTTTTTCTTGGGTGTAATTTCCTCCTGGCTTTCCAGGTATATCTTGGGACTAAGCTATGCAACATCTCTGTGAATCCTTAGAAAGAACAACTCCATAAATCTCAGCTGTCAACGACTATTTACAAAAGACTACTTCAAAGCCTAGGTGCCATTACTCCAAAATTCATGCCACATATAGTGGCTCTGCAAAAATTCTCCTACATGTACATGTGTGTGCAGGTGTGCATGTCCCTGTGCATATGGAATGGCCAGAGGATCACTTGTAGGGTCCTATTCTATCACTCTTTGCTTTATTCCTTTTTTTTTTTTTTTAAGACTAGGTCTCACTATGTATCTCTGGCTAGCCTGGTACTTGCTAGGTATACTAGGTTGACCTCAAGCTCACAGAGATGCCTCTGCCTCTGCCTCTGCCGTATGAGTGCTGGAATTAAGGATGTGCACCCATGACAACCAACAAGAGAAGGTCCCTTACTGAACTTGAAGGAGACAGGCAGTCAGCAAACTCCAATGAGCCCCTTTCTCTCCCCCTCCCTGTGCTGTCCCCAATTCTAGAATGACAGATGTGCTGAGACCACCTGCTCAGGTCTTCCTACCTGCTCAGCAAGCATTCTTGCCCACTGAACTCTATCTGGCTATTGTTAGAACAGGAACTTGCTATGTTTGATCAGGCTATCCCGAACTCAAGATCCCCCTGCCTCTCTCTGCCTTCTTAAGAGCTGGGATTTATTTTTATTTATTTATTTTAAGAATTTGAGGTTGGCTTTGAAATTTGCATAGATGTCAAAAGCATCTCCAGGTAGCCATGTTTAGCGAAGGACGAAGAGGAAGTAAAACAGTAATTCATGAAGGGTGATGGTGGTTGGCTGTGGGGAGATAGAGAAATCATCAACCTCCGGCAGCCAGGACCAAACTACGCGGTCCATCCAGCTGTGCCGGTCAGAGGTCCCGAATGAATTTCTTGGAATAGGGAGGACACTGGGGTAGTGAGCCTTAGCCTTGACAATGGGTTGGTGTTCTGCCTTGCTACCTAACCATGGGAAGATTCACTTCAGAAGAGGAAGCTTGGGCACTGGTTTCTCTCAGTGTGGGTAGGGCTCCTTTGTTTTGAATAGGTATTGCTTTCCCAGGCTAGGGGATGACTAAGAGTGACCAGGTCATCAGGCCTCTCAGGAGAGCTGAACCCTTCTGTAGGGTCTTAGACTGAAACCCAAATTCCTATGCTTGCCCAGCAAGTGCCTCTGCCCATTAAGTCATCTTACTAGGCCAAGCAGAGCATGCAAATTCAATTGATTCAAGTTCAAATCCTGTTTGTATCACTTTTTAATTCCTTAATACTATGGGGAAAGACTTTCCCTCAAGTCTTTTAAAGACAAGTCAGATCAGCCTTGGCGGATTTCAAATACACCTCTTTTAGTTTCTTGTTTCAGTTTCCTAAGTCTTGACAACTGTGAGATGTTTTCACCAAGCACCCTGTTGACAGGGTGGATCATGTTTTTCTGGGCCTGACTTCCTGTCAACCCTTCCCTATATTCCCTGCTTCGAGTCTGTAGGGACTGTGATTGGAAATGTTGGGTTAACTATGAGATCGTGATTTTAAGATAAAACCCCAATTTAAAAAGAAAAAAGGGAGAGGGGCTACAAATGTAAATTAGTTGGCAGACTGCCTGCCCACCTTGCATGACGCTAAGGTGTGATCTCTGACACCACAGAAATCGGTATGGGGGCACACACTGTAACCCCAAACCTTGGAAGAGGAAGTAGAAGGATTACAAGCTTAAAGTCATCCTTAGCCAAGCGGTGAATTTGAGACTAGCCCGGAATAGAAGAAACCCTATGCTGGGCTGGAGAGATGGCTCAGTGGTTAGGAGCATTGACTGTTCTTCCAGAGGTCCTGAGTTCAATTCCCAGAAGCCACATGGTAGCTCACAACTATCTGTAATGGGATCTGATGCCCTCTTCTGGTGTATCTGAAGACATCTACAGTGTACTCATGTATATAAATAAATAAATAAATAAATAAATAAATAAATAAATAAATCCAGAACGAAAGAAAGAAGGAAGGAAGGAAGGAAAGAAAGAAAGAAAGAAAGAAAGAAAGAAAGAAAGAAAGCCTATGCTATGTATAAACAACAAAAACTAGAGATAGAACTCACTGTTACCAAGCTTGAGGAGCTAAGCCTGATCACTTGGGCCTTTGTGGTAGGAGAGACCTGACTCCCACAGTTTGTCTTCTGATCTCTACACATGCATCATGGCACATGTATTCACACGCACAAGTTTTCATTTAAAAATATACAGTGGATCCATTGCATGGATCCAGGAGTATGCCTTCAATCCTAGGCAGAGGCAGACAGATCTCTGGGAGTTCAAGGCCAGCCTGGTCTACATAGTCCAGGACAGCTAGAGCTACATAGTGAGACCCTGTCTCAAAAAAACAAAACAACCAATACATGAAAAACAACCAATATGTGAAATAGTGTGGTAGATAAGGCCTGTAATCTCAGCAGTTTGGAGGCTGCTCAAGAAGATCCTGGACTCAAAGCCCAGCATGGCTATACAGTGAGACTGTTTCAATAAACAGATAACAGAGGAAGGAGCCACAGTGTGGTGACCAGTCTTGGCTTGACAACTTGACTGCTTCTGGAATTTTGTCGATTAGATTATTTGAAGCAGGAAAACCCATCCTAAATTGGGGCTAGATCTGCTGGCAGCCCAGATGAAAAGGCGCGAGAGACGGTTGAGAGCTTTTGCCTGCTTGCTTTCACTCTCACTAGCACATCCATCTATGCTATTTCTGTGGCTTTCCTTTTGCACAAAAGCCAACTTCTCTGGGATTCTAGTGTAGACAGAGGACCAGCCGCTCTCCAGGAATCCTTCAGGACTCCTATGACAACCAGTCTCCTGGACCAAACAATTATCACATTCTTGGCCTTTTCCAGAGTCTGACAGCCATTGTTGGACCACATGAGCTAAATCCTTTAAACCAATCTAATAAATCCCTCTTAAACACACACATAAATATTTATTCTAACATTTCTGTTCCTTTAGAGAGTACTGACTAATGCAACAAGTGATTTATAAAGAACATGGCCTTTAGAAGCAGGCCCAGTCTTGTCATTTCTTAGCTCTTTCTAACCCTCTCCCTCCCAGTTTTTATACTTCACTTTCCTACATCTGAAATTTGTTAAACGAGTATTCGTAAGACCTTTAGAACAGGGCCCTGATCACAACAGCACTGTTTGCTAAGAATACTTTGGTTCATCAGATTTCTAGTTTGCTTTTTTATTTTTATTTTTATTTTTATTTTTATTTTTATTTTTATTTTTATTTTTATTTTTATTTTACTTTTTGGTGCTGGGCATTGAACATCGGGCCTCAAGCTTGTATTTTATGCCTGAGCATCACTTACAGCTGTGGGGCTCACCACTAAGCTTCTAATTTGTACTGCTTGATGTTAAAATACCTAGATGTGTCTATGTCTTGGTTTCTGAAAAGCTGTTGTAAATTAGTGGTCGTTGGATGGATAAGGTTTTTTGGGGAAGTTTGGGTTTGTCTCAAAATGGCTTAAAGTCCGTCCCCCCCCCACAAAAGCTTGCCATTTGGACAATGGCTAGTAATTAGTAAAAATCCTGTCTATTTGGAAATAAATAGGGTGATCTGCTGCCAGCTAACTGAATCTGTGAAATGTAAAAGGACAGTCTGACAACCAGCTGGCAATCATTTCAGGGTCTTCCAGTTGGGCCAGTCCCTTGTCCATTGTTTTCTGCTCTGGGATAGAGCTGGCAGCAATGGCCTTTTAGGTTTTTGTTTTTTTATTTTAACAAGTTTACAGCTTGGAGTGTTTGAAACCTGGCAAAACGTATTTGTTTCGAGGAAGATACCTGCAGTTCACCAGATGACCCTCTTAATCTGGAGTGTGGTGGAACCTTCATTAGCCTCAGATGCCCTCTTTGGCCCGGTCCTCACTAAAGTCTCCACCCTTTACCACAGCCCTAAATTTTCCTTCTTCTAATAACTCCGCCCTTTCGGAGAAACACAAGGGCGGAGTTGAGGGCGATCACACAGACATTGCGCTTGCGCAATGGGCCAGGCGCTAGCGCCCCAGGGAGGCCACGCTCCCGAGGCTGATGTCCAGCGCGCTTGCGCAGTAGGCCTGGAGGCTGGCAAAACTGAATGGACTCGCCTCCGGGGCTGTGGCGTCAGTGCGGCTGCGCGCGAGCCGGGAGCCGCGGTACTTAACTTCGCCGCGCCGGGTGTCGGAGGTAGCCATGCAGAGAGCAGGCTTGGAGCAGCCGGCTAAGCGGCCCCGCTGCGATGGCAGCCCAAGGACGCCACAGAGCACTCCTCCTGCAGGAGCGAACCAGTCTGCAGACCCCGACTCCCAAAGCAGCGACCTCCGAACCTGGGATCCAGAGGACGTGTGCTCCTTCCTAGAGAAACGTGGTTTCCGAGAGAAGAAAGTGCTGGACATCTTCAGAGGTAGCGGGGCTGAGGGAGGAGGGATGGCGACCGAGGGGCCCAGGGGAGAGAGCTCACGCGGGAGACATCCTAAGGGGGAGGCTCGCCGAGCCAAGGTCTCTAGGGGGAAGCGGCTGGCGGGAACCCGAACCTGGGGAGGGAGGCGCCCCGACGGGAGGCGAACAGATACCCGAGGTGGGCACAGGTGAAGTGCAAGCCCATAGACTCGCTCTCCGGGCGGCGAGCCTAAGAGGGGCCCAGGGAGGTTTGCATTTTCTTCTGGTGGACGGGAGAACTTGTCACTTCTCCTGACAGGAGCAATCCCCACCCTTCTTAGAAGAAGACTTTACCCCAGACCTCCGGCTGTGGCTTGCGGTCTTTCAGGGTCACCTGATTTGGGAGACCCTTCTGTGCTAACCTCAGCTCCGGAACACTTGGCCCCATGAGATTTTGGGCGCTTTTAAGTTTCACTTTTAAGCTGGCCCCGGAATTTGGGGTTTTCCTAAAAGGGGAGAGAAGGTGGTTAATCTCTGGATTCTCACTGACTATCATAATATCCCAGGGTTCAGTATGTGCTGATTGTATTTGCAAAATGCTGCTGAGCGAATTTCTCTTCTAAAATAACAAGTTATTCAGTTGACCACTGAAACCTCAACATTCCACAACTTGGCCACTCAAGGGGAGGGTATAGGCTAAGAATTTTAAGTGACTCTAAAGTTTCTTGCTCATGTACCCATCACACTTTGAATCTACTCAACTTTTTTTGTGGTGGATGTGAAGTGTAACCCCTCGCATGATCCCCGGAGGTGTTCCCCTGGAAAGGGGCCCCTTAGCGGTTGTGATTTTCAAATTCAGTGAACTTTACTTTTGTGGGGTGCAGCCCCCATGCGCCTAATTGAAAGACTGAGTGTGAAGTTTAAAGTTCAGGACATTAAGATAGCTTAAATGTAGGAACTCAAGTTTCTTTTTTTCTACCCCTCTTCTCTCTACAGAAGAGTAACTTTGGAGGGGGATGGATTAAGACAGGGCCTGTCTTATGAAGTCCTGTCTATTTGGAACTCCATCTGTAGACCAGCCTGGCCTCGAACTCAGAGACCCACCTGCCTCTGACTCTTGAGTACTGGATTAAAGGTGTAGGCCACCACATCTGGCAAGATTTTATTTTAATTTTGTATAGATGAGTGTCTTGCCTTTTATGTGTACATCCACCATATGTGCCTGGTGTCGTTGAGGGGGCCAGGAGCTGGAGTAAGTCCCTTAACCTGGTGTTACAGGTGGTTGTGAGCAGCCTTAGGGGTGCTGAGAACCAAATCTGAGCCCTCTGCAAGAGCAGTGAGTGTTCTTAACCACTGAGTTATCTCTTCTGGCTTTTTTTTATTTTAAATTGGGTTTTTATGGGAGTGCTGGTAGCGGGTATGCATATGAGTACAGTGTCTGTCAAAGCCCTAAGAGGGTATCCAGCCTTCTGGAGCTGGAGTTCTGGGCATTTGGGAATGGCCTAAAGTGAGTGCTGAGGATTGCACGCCTCTACAAGAACAGTATGTGCTCATTACTGAGAAGCCATCTCTCTAGCCCCAGATGATGCTTTGATATCCAAAGATGTTAAGTAACTTTCCAAAGTCACATTATTAGACAAAAAAAAAAAAAAATGCAGAGTTGGATTTTTTTTTAAAGGTTAAGTCTTTGGATTCCAGAATTCATTCCAGTTATTTCTGAAATGGTGTCCTCACTAAAACTTACTTGGGAGGCTGAGGCAAGACAAGCAAGACTTCAGGTTCTAGTTTTAGGTCTTCAGCTGTCCTAGGCTAGATAATGAGATCCTATCTCAAAACAAAACACCATTGGAGAACATAGCCAAAATTAGAAAATCAACTAAAGCAAGAGAAAAAAATCTATCCGATAGAAAAATGAGTACAAAAAGCAAGAGACCATTGATAAACAACCAATCAAGAAGTAAAGCTCTCGCTCAGTACTGATTTTTAAAATACTGGGTTTTCATTTTAATGATTAGAAAAATGTTAGTAGATAAATTATGTATAACCAGTAAGGTTGATGGAAGTGTTCATTAGGTCAGCGATGGACTGTTTGTCAGTGCTCTTTGACTTACAGTAAATAGTTATGGCTAACATTTATTATGTATATCCTTTGTATGAAGCACTGCTATACACATTTCATAAGCTTTTTAGGGAGGGATAGACTTTTTTTGTGTGTCTGTGTATATGGAGGATTATACCCAGAGCTTTGTTCATGTTATGTGTGGACTGTACCACTAAGTCACACACCCCAGTCAGTCAGTAACCATATAAGCATGAAGACCTGTGTTCTGAATTCTACCACCCACACAAAAAGTTGGGTGTAGTTGGGCATACTTACAATCCCAGAGGTGAGGGGCCAGAAAAAAGAAAGTTCCTGAGGTTTGCTGGCCAAGCACTCTATCTGAAATGTATACATAAACTCACACGGGCACACATACACGTAAATAAAAAGTGAATAAATCTTAGAGAAATACCAGGCAGAGGAGGAAGAAAGGAAGACTCCTGACATTGGCCTCCAGCTTCCAACAAGCAGATGCACAGACCTGCAAATGCCCGCACAAGTGCACACACAGACTTTGGAAAATGTATTCTGATTTGTATATATTGTAGAATACAAAGTATCCATTAAGAAAGATACAGGCAGTCTGGCAGTGGTGGCGCCCGCCTTTAATCCCAGCATTTAGGAGGCAGAGGCAGGCCTGGTCTACAGAGTGAGTTCCAGGACAGCCAGGGCTACACAGAGAAACCCTGTCTTGAAAAACCAAAAAAAAAAAAAAAAAAATACAGGCTTTCATCACTGAGAACTAGGTTTAGGATATTGGGTGAGAAAAATTGGTTATATGACAATCTTTTATATATAAATTTACATCATTGTATAGAGATACATCTGTTATCTCATACTGTTAACAGTAGGTATCAGTTTGAACTTAAGTAAATTGGTATTTGGTACTTAATATTATTTGGATCTTTTTACATTGGGTAACTGTTTTTCAAGATAGAAAACAAAAAAAAATACAGGGGGCTGGAGAGATGGCTCAGTGGTTAAGAGCACTGACTGCTCTTCCAGAGGTCCTGAGTTCAAATCCCAGCAACCACATGGTGGCTCACAACCATCTGTAATGAGATTTGATGCCCTCTTCTGGTGTGTCTGAAGACAGCTACAGTGTACTCATAAATAAAATAAATAAATCTTTAAAAAAAAAAAATACAAAAGTACCATTTTCACTTCAACTTTTATTTTTCAGAAGAACATTGCCTCGCTTTTTCTTGTTACTTTGAAAATGAAGGTTTTTGTTTATGTGAAAATAGAGTCCAGAGTTGTAGAATCTGAGCTCTAAGAGAGCTAGAGTTAACTGTTTGGAAAGAAAAAAGTACATGTGTGTATATATAATTCTTTCAAAACCCAGAGGATTATTTGCTTTCAAAGGTGTTTTAGAAGTAAAACTGAGTCCTCTCCTCCTGGTTTTAAGAGAATGGTCCTAAGAACAATTGATTTAAATGTCCTACTCTAATCCCGCTGCCAGCCCTGACTTTAAAAACAGGAAGCTGCTGATCTAGCTGAACTCACAAATATAATTAGGTTTCACTTTCTTTTCCCATTGCTTTTCTCACAAATTAGTCACCTAATTAATATTTTAGAAGTATTGTATCAAAAATGTGGTATAGGCCAGGGCTGTAGCTCAGTGGCAGGATACATGCCTAGTATGTACAAAGACTTGGATTTAGTCCTTAGTCACTTTTTTCTTTTTAAGGTTTGAACTCTGGGGGCTCTCAGAGATGAGGCCAATCTAGCTATGAGGCAAGATTCTGAGAGGTGTGTGTGTGTGTGTGTATGTGTGTGTGTGTGTGTGTGTCCAAGTGTGATGGTGCATCGCTACTTAGGAGGAAGAGGTAAGTTGATTTCTGTGAGTTTGAGGCCAGCCTGGTCTACATAGATTTCAGGATAGCTAGAACTACATGGTGAGACTCTGCTTTAAAAACCTAAACAAACAAACAAACAAACAGATAAGGGGGTGGGAGGGCTGGAGGGAGAGTTCTTTGTGTAGGAATGATCGCTCTATAATCTGGAGTTTAGATCTCAGCACCCACATAACAAGATGAATGTCTCCTGTAAATGCTAGTAATCCCAGCTGAGGTGGGATGTCCATAGGAAGGGATGCTGCCAATTGCTGGCTCCCAACCTACCCAGATACAAGCCCCAGGTTCAGCAAAGAGCCCTGTCTCAGAGTGACAGGCAGAGAGTGGTGGAAGACCCTCAGTGCCTTCTGTGTGTCAGTCCTGGTGCACACATACAACACACACACAAATTAAATATATATTTAATATATTTTAAATGATTTGTGATGTATACTTTATAAATATATATAATGCTAAATATATGTGTGTGTATTTTAAAGTATGACGCACTTGTGTCCCAGTACCTGAAAAGAATTTACTCTAAGACCTAAGCATGTAACTAAAATCTGATGCTTAAGTCCATTACATAAAATGACACAATGTTCGAATCTAACCTGTGTACGCCCACATCTGTAAACTTTACATCTCTGCATTACTTATATTGCCACATAAAATGTAAATAGTTGTTGTACTGTATTTTTACATGTTGTCTACAATAATGAACAGAAGTATTTACATGTTCAGTACAGATGCAGTTTTTTTTTCTGAATATTTTCCATTAATACCATAAATAAGGACTCTGCACCAATGGAAAGCTGGCTGTAGGTCACATGGTTCACTGCCTGTAATATATTCTTAGTCAATACAAGCTGAGCAAATTCTGATAGATTCAAACCGAAAGAAACTGAAAAATATATGCTATAAATATCTTGGTTACTTTTTCCTCTTCCATAGAGAATAAAATCACTGGTTCATTTCTGCCCTTTTTGGATGAGAATCGTCTTGAAAATCTGGGAGTAAGGTAAGAATGACGAAACTCAGAGTGAGAGTGAGGCCAGATCCACTTTATCCGCTGTTCAGAAACAAAGCTCACGAGCTTGGGTTTTACCCGTTCTCATTTCAATACTGTGACATGCTTTAAAACAGAACCCCTGCTTGCTGTTCCTGCTATATGGGGCTTGTATTTAGTTTCTATTTCAAAGAGCCTTGCTGACCAGAATTCATGAAGTTTATAGTGACCAACTTTTTACTCTCAGATTTGGAATAATTGTATTATACGCCCAAGAAATGTATAGGGAAAACATTAGCAATAAAAGAGTTGTCACCCTATCTCTTTGTAGGTCTTAAGTCTGTCTTAGGACTGGGGTGTGTCTGTGTGTGGAAACTGTTAAAGAACATAATTGTCCCTTGATAGCTTTGTACACACACACACACAGATGTAGATATTTCTGCATATGGCTGGAGGTTCTGGGGTATAAGTTAGAGTTGCCATTCTTTTAAAGATCTTAGCTGAGTATTCAGTGTTTATCTATGCTTTAAAATGGCTCTTTTCTCTCTTCAGAATTGGCAGCAGTTAGTTCAGTGTTTGTGGTGACGGCGAATGAAGAGTAAAAACAAAGGCTTGTTCTGTCAGATCCTAAGGCTTAGAACTTTGAGAGTGGAAGCAGGTTGTAGAAAAGTATTACCAAAGGGCCTTCACTGCCTTCAAGACTGTCGTTAGGGGCACAGATGTCAGTCAGGGCTTTTCCTTTGCCTTTTTTATAACCCATTCCAGCTGCCTCGGTTATCCATCAGTTACCTTACTTCCTGTGAACTGGTGGACTTCCTTCTAAATTTTCTCCTCAAAGACCCAATCACTATTGATTTGTTTAGCAGATATTTATGGGTAGTACATTTGGTTCTAGGCATTCTTCTGGGAACGTGGGGAGCATGGGTGAACAAGAGAAGCATATTCCAAGGGGAACACTGCTGTACAGTAGGTGTCTTGTACCCTGCCTTCTGCCTCTGAGATGGAGTCTATGGGGCTCTTTAGACTTGTGTTAGCCTGCAATGTAGCCACCTGTTGTATGTTTAAGTTATCCAAAATTAGATTCAATGAGGCCAGAGATGAGACTCAGAGGTTAGGAGCACTTCCTGTCTTTCTAGAGGCTCCCCAGATCAGTTCCCAGCATCCACACCAAGCTCCTTAGCAGCACGTGTCACTCCAGCTCCAGGTCTAACCTCTGGCCTCCACAGAGGCCACTTGTGCTGAAACCCACACGCAAGCACATAATTGGAATCTTCTCAGTTTGATGAATTTAAAAGTTTTAGTTCTTCTCTTATACTGTCTATATTTCAAGGAATTGGTAGGCACGTGTATTGCTGACTTCATACAAGCAACAGCAAGGCTGAGCAAGATCCATCTGCCTCTCGACTTCCCGAGTATGTGGATTAAACACGTTTGCCACCACCGCCTGGCTGGTTTTTTCTTTTATCTTTCCTAGTCCCCCAACTGCTGTTTCCAGGCTATATACTCCCAAATAAATTTCCTGACTATACGCTCTTGTGTTGACTGTGAGTTTTATGTGGAATCCTGTTTAGACACTTTTTGTATTCCTTCAATTTTTGATTAAATACTGATTTCCGAAGGTTTTTCCAGAAGTAAACGTTGTTATATTAAACATGCATATGAGGATGGCTCATCCTGTAACCCTAGTACTTGGGGGGATGGTTGTGAGCTCCAGGTCAGCCTAGGCTACGGAAATCACACACACACACACACACTCTAAGATGTATTAATTTTAATTAAATCAGCTTTTTAATTTATCAGCTGTTGCCGGGCAGTGGTGGCACACGCCTTTAATCCCAGTACTTGGGAGGCAGAAGCAGGCGGATTTCTGAGTTCGAGGCCAGCCTGGTCTACAGAGTGAGTTCCAGGACAGCCCGGGCTACACAGAGAAACCCTGTCTCGAAAAAACTGAAAAACAAAACAAAAATTTATCAGCTGCTTAATGTCTCTGTACATTCTGAGAAAGTCCCTCCTAGATTTTGTTATTGCCATGGGTTTCGGTACAGCAGAGTTCAACTGTGGTACCTCTTCTTCCAGTCTATTAAGACTTTTAGTAAAAAAATATTTCAACCCAATTACCCAGTAGATCAGTCAGGTATACTAATGCCTACCTCCTGCTCTGTGTTAACATTTCAATCAGGTGTGTTTATTAAGCTTGAACCAATGAGCCGGATGTTATAAAATTCTGAGGGGTCCAAGTCCAGTTCCCATGAGATTATTTCCCAGCTGTCCATTGTAGATAGTGGGTGATGAAGTACAAAGCTAAAACCTTCCTCGATACTAGTTCATGCTTGGGTCATAACTCAGCAGAAGCCTGGGTGGGCCTTCTTGGTTCAGAAGGAACTTCTTGTAAGCAAGTGCAACAAAACACCAAACTAGACGACTCTGTTGGTAGGAAAACAGTTTATTGGGGGACTGCGTCTGAGAGTAGAGAGTAGAGAGCCGCAGCCCGGCAGAAAAGCAAGCAGGCTTTCTATGATCGCTTGAAGGGCGGTGCTCCTTGAGCTGCTGCAGGCTGTTCAGGGTTAATGGGAACTAGACGCACTTTGAAAACAAAGGAAGTTTCTGGGACTGTGTTTGCGTTCCTGATTGATTGTTCCTTCTAACCTGCTGTTTCTTTTTATTGGTACAGATGATCTAGAGCTGCCTCTATGCCCCCAGTACTCCTGGAATTCTTATTTAGCAAGTATTGACATATTTCTTACATTGTTTCAATTTTAGCTCCTTGGAGGAGAGGAAGAAGATGATAGAATGTATCCAAAAGCTGAGCCAGTCTCGCATTGACCTAATGAAGGTGAGGAGTGAGTGTGGGAACGGAATTTACCGTATATAATCTAATGAAGGCGCAAGAAAGCTGTATAAAAGGCATTTACGTGGAATAAATGGGATTGGATCATATGGTATTGTAACTTAAAACTTCGATTTGATCGTGGTCTCTTAACACTCTGAAACTTCGAGACCCCAATTAAATGCTTTCTTTTATGGTTTGTCTTTGTCTTTTTGTTTTTGTTTTTTGTTTTTTGTTTTTTCGAGACAGGGTTTCTCTGTGTAGCCCTGGCTGTCCTGGAACTCATTCTGTAGACCAGGCTAGCCTCAAACTCAGAAATCCACCTGCCTCTGCCTCCCAAGTGCTGGGATTAAAGGCGTGCACCATCACCGCCTGGCTTATAGTTTGTCTTTGTCATGGCAATAGAACAGTAATTAGGACAAATCACAAGGCAGAGCAGGGTAGATCTCTGATTATTGAGGCCAGCCTGGTCTACAGAGTGAGTTCTAGGACAGCCAAGGATATACAAAGAAACCCTGTATCTCACCATAACCATGGCAACTCTTTTTTTTTAAGCCAAAATTTTATTTATTCACTTCTTGCATTTGAAGTACTCCTCGATGACATTCTTGGCCTGAGACTCTTTGCCATAGTCCTTAACCACTACACAACTGCAGCCAACCACTTTCTGTGGTTTCCCCTCTCAATGGATTTTACAGAGGCCCACCCATTCCCCTAGTTTCTTGTCGTCAACCTTTATCAGGTTGATTGGGTGCTCGGCACAAAGTGCCTCCACCAGCTTGACATACATGGGCTTATCACAGTTGGATGCAAGCACACAGAGATGGGCTTTGGTCACGTATGCCACGTCCTAGGCCATCGTGGATGAGGGCGTTGTCAGCACCTCTTGTAGAGTAGTGTTGTCGTCCATTACACCTGCAGCAGCTATGCCTTCATTGACCATGGCAGTTGATTACGGGTAATGCTGAATCTTGAATGCACCTGAGCTTCCTTCCCCCTCCACACAAGTTGGCGGTGGCAGGGGAAAAAGCCATGACAACTCTTTTTTTTTTTTTGGTTTTTTTTTTGAGACAGGGTTTCTCTTTATAGTCCGGGCTGTCCTGGAACTCACTCTGTAGACCAGGCTGGCCTCGAACTCAGAAATCCGCCTGCCTCTGCCTCCCAAGTGCTGGGATTAAAGGCGTGCGCCACCACCGCCCGCATGACAACTCTTATAAAGGAAACATTTACTTGGGACTGGCCTACAGTTTCCAAGGTTTTGTCCATTATCATCATGGGGTATGGTATACAGGCAAACAGGGTGCTGGAGAGGAGCTGAGAGTTCTACATCTTGATCCACAGACAGCAGGAGACTGTGCAATATTGGCTGTAGCTTGAGCATATATGACCTCAGAACCCATCCTCATAGTGACACACTTCCTCCAACAAGGCTACACTGACTTCAATAAGGCCACACCTCCTAATAGTGCCAGTCCCTATGGGCCAAGCTTTCCAACACATGAGTCTGTGATGGCCATTTCTATTCAAACCGTGCCCTGTCTCAAAAAACCAACCAAGCAAAGCATTGATTTATGATACCGTTGAGAGAGAGAGAGAGAGAGAGAGAGAGAGAGAGAGAGAGAGAGAGAACATGTATGTACAAGTGCAATAGCCCAAGTGTGGTCACAAGGTCACAAGACAAGTTTTAGGAGTCAGATCTCTCCCTCCGCTATGTGGGAGCTCAGAATAGAACTTAGGTCATGAGACTTGGCTTCAAATGCCCTTACTCACTGAGCTATCTCTCTAGCCCTGTGGTGGTATTTTGGTAGTCATCTGCATAGACACAAACACCCTAGTAACCTTCAGTCATAGGGTTACTTTCATTTATTAAATTTTATTTTTATATCCATCCATCCATCTACCTACCTACCTATTTATTTATTTGTGAGAGAATGTCTCATTATATAGCCCTGCCTAGGCTGAAGTTTGCTGAGTAGACCACACGGGCCTCAAACTCACAGAGATCCACATAACTGCCTCCCAAGTGCTGGGATTAAAGATGCATACCACCACATCCAGCAAGTTCTAGGTTCAGTTTTTATTTAATTAATTAATTTTTTTCTACGTGCATAAGTATTTTATCTGCATGTATATCTGTTGACTAGTTTTATACAGGATGCCCATGGGGGCCAGAAGAAGGCATCAGATCCCCTAGAACTGGAGTTATAGATGGTTGTGCACTCCATGTGGGTGCTGGAAAGTCTTTCTCTCCTTTGTTCCTCTTATTGGTTCCTGACTCTTGCCCACCTGCCTGGCATTTACAGTAGACACAGAACAGTAATGGAGTTGTATTAACTTGATGGCTAGTGACAGACTAGGGTATCATACAGCTGCTACAAGTCGTAAATGGACCATGTGACTGTGTACATGCGACTGTGGAATCATACCAAGTGCTAATAGTAAAAATAAAAATGACCACCACTTAACACTATTAAACATCACACACACACACACAAAGTAAGTAAATAAGGTATTTCTAAACAAATATTAAGAGCATTGGCTGCTCTTCAAGTTAAGACTCTCAGCACACACATGGAAGCTCACAGCTGTGCAGTTCTAGCCTTAGAAGATCCGATGGCCTCTTCTGGCCTCCATGGGTGTACACTCATGTGTGCACTTGTGCGTGCGTGTGCACGCACACACACACACACATATGCAAAGAGCACAGATGTGATCAGGCAAACATTCACAAAATAAGAAAAAAATGGAATCTCAATTTTTTAAAAAATTTTTAGCTGTTAATGAAATAGAGCCATTAAGATGATTATTACATAATAATCTGTTCTCTGTTCATTTTTGATCTTAAAAGGAGACTGTATATATTATGATATTAACCACTGAAGGTAGTTTTATGTTTCTGTGTCTGTTGATGGAGGGGCACGGATGTGCCGGAGTGGCCGTGTGGAGGTCAGAGTACAGCTCCGTGGAGTCAGTTCTCTCTCTGCTGTGTGTCCTGGGAACTGATCGCGGCAGGCTTACACAGCAGGTTCTTCTATCTGCTGACCTAGCTCAAAAGATAGCTTTTGCTGAGCTAATTTTTTAAAAAAATAACTTAAATTTATTTTGTTTTTAATGGATTTAGGATGACATAAATATTTTATAAGTAGATATGACCACCTGAGAAATTGACAATAAAGGTGTTTTAGGCTTAAATGGATTAAAAGTAGGTTATATAATTTCTTTGACAATCTTTAGTAATAAAAATATGCTCTCACCTGTGATGGTTAGGTTGACCTTGTGTTAGGAGGAATACATTTGTTTGTGATTAAATATTTAGAGATCACTGAACTGGACCAATAATAACTTACAAAAAAGGATATCCAGAGGACTTAATTTTTGATATTCTCAGTTCCTTCTCTTCCTAAGGACTTTGATTCCATTCCCTGAGTATTATTAATGGTGATGAACTTGGTATACTTTATAATAATCCTCAGATGGCTTTATGGAGGATGAAAAGCCTTACTATTCTCCAAGCACATGTGGTGTACAAACATAGGCAAACACACATAAAATAAGAGTATCCATTCTTTAATTAACTTTCATTAATAATGTAATTGAGTTACTAAAATGATTATCATATAAAAATACAAAACATTGACTGTTCATTTTGATATAAAAAGGAAACTATGTATTACAGTGTTAACTGTTAAAGGTAGTTTTAAAAACTATTTATTGTCTGTGTGTGTGTGTGTGTGTGTGTGTGTGTGTCAGAGGGACATGCATGTGCCAGTGTGGGCATACAAAGGGCAGAGGACAACTTTTTAAACTTAATTTTCCAGGTATTCAATGATCCTATTCATGGCCACATTGAGTTCCACCCTCTCCTCATCCGAATCATTGACACACCTCAGTTCCAGCGGCTTCGCTACATCAAGCAGCTGGGAGGCGGCTACTATGTTTTCCCTGGAGCGTCACACAATCGGTTTGAACACAGTCTCGGGTGAGGAGGGAACGGGCAGCTCATTTACTCTCTTAGAGAGTACTTTTTCAAGTGGGCGTTGTAACGTCTTCATTGTACTGATGAGAAAATTGAGACTTTGGATTCCTGTTGACCATATTTTATTTCATGTGTGTGTGTTTTTAAACTACCTCATATCCTTCCGAAAACCTGATGTCTGTTGATCCGTCAGTTGGATTAAATACTTACATTGTGTAAGGCTGGCTGCTGGTATGACTGAGTATAAGTTTGATTAGTTTTCCTTTAGTCCCTATATACACACTTCATTTCTTTGAGGACAAGGGCTCCCAGTGGGACTTAAGCTGACCTCAAACTCAGTGTCCTCCCATCTCATCTCCTGAGAACTGAGATTCTGGACACCATGCTTGGCTCCTTTTTACCTTGTTGTTGTTGTTGTTTTTGTTTTTCGAGACAGGGTTTCTCTATGTAGCCCTGGCTCCTGGAACTCACTCTGTAGACCAGGCTGGCCTCGAACTCAGAAATCCACCTGCCTCTGCCTCCCAAGTGCTGGGATTAGAGGCGTGCGCCACCTGGCTCAGAGTCACCTTTTTAAACAAAGTAATTATGTCAGGAAATTTGGAGAAATGTTTATAAGCTCCGAGAAGGTCGTCTCTGCTCTGTGTAATGAAGCTGAGACTTTGCTCTGGGTTTCCATTATGCATGTAGAGCTGGAAGAAGGCAGAGAATAATTGAGAGTTCAGTATTTGGTTTTTTAAAGATTTATTTAATTTATGTATGTGAGTACACTGTCATTGTCTTCAGACACACTAGAAGAGGGCATCAGATCCCATTACAGATGGTTGTGAGCCATCATGTGGTTGCTGGGAATTGAACTCTGGATCTCTGGAAAAGCTGTCAGTGCTCTTAACCACTGAGCCATCTCTTCATTCCCAGTATTTGATTTATTTACTTTGTGGTTTTCATTTGTTATCTAGGTTTTTCCCTTTCTTTCTTTGTTTTGTTCAGGGTTTCATTAAACAGCCTAGGCTGGCCTCAAATTCCTAGTATTTCTGCCTTCGCCTCTCAAATGCACAAGTTACAAGTGTGTGCCACGCTGTCCAGGTTTGGTAGTCAGATGCATGTGCCGATGCTCAAATTATAAACGATAGTTATTAAACACTTTCTAGAACCTTCCAAGCCACAAACAAGTTGTCTGCCTTCCTAGAGCTGAGTTAGGCCAGAGGAAAGAATATATATATATTTTTAGGAATTCCTTTCAGAGAGAAGTGCTTGAAGGTGCATTTAACGTTTTTATGCTGTTTGTTTATCTTGGTTTTGTTTGCATTGCTGGGGATTAACCCAGAGTCTTGCACATGCTAGTCAGCTGGTCCATGGAGCCACATCCTCAGCCTCGCTAAGCCCTCGTCTTCAGTCTGTGATGGAACATCACAGAAACACTTCTCAGAAATCAAAGTTTCAAGTTCTAAAGTTATCTTTCATCTTTCAAACCTCAGTGTGACTTTTGGTCTTCTTCTGCGCAGAGTGGGGTACCTAGCAGGCTGCCTCGTTCGAGCACTTGCCGAAAAACAGCCCGAGCTGCAGATCAGTGAGAGAGATATGCTCTGTGTTCAGATTGCAGGGCTCTGCCATGACCTAGGTAAGATCACAAAGCCGGCAAGCATCACATGTAAGATCCTACCATGTCTCTCGTCTCGGCATTCAAAACTCAAGTCTAGCCAACGGAAATGTAGAAGTATTTTAATTTCTCTTTCTTCCCCCTCCCCTTTGTTTTTGTTTTTTTTGTTTTGTTTTGTTTTGTTGTTTGTTTGTTTTTTTGAGACAGGGTTTTTCCATGTAGCCCTGCCTATCCTGGAACTTATTTTGTAGACAAGGCTGGCCTCAAACTCAGAGATCCACCTGCCTCTCTCTCTCTAGGATTAAAATTGTGTGCCACCAGTACCTGGCAGTATTTTAACTTTTCATTAATCACAGTACTTCCTAATATTGATGAGGACAAAACATTGCTATGACTTGTGAATTTTCTGTATTAAGCATCTTTGCCAATCACACGAAAGGCATTATTCATTTATTAATTAATTAATTTATGAGATAGGGTTCTTACTCTGTAACCCAAGCTGGCCTAGAACTCACTATATAGCCCAGGCTAGCCTCAAACTCTTGACAGTCCACCTGCTTCCACCTCCTGCGTGCTGAGATTACAAGCATGAGCCAGTGCACTGGGCTGAAAGGGCTTTGTGCCTGTGTGTTTCTCTTATTCTGTCTTTGGGATAATGGGATGTGATTTTTTCTTTTATCCTCTCATTGACTAAAATGGCTTTTTCCTTTGGTTCCTTTGTTAAATCCATCACTTCTTACTATTAGCAAAGGTTTAAAAAAATGACTCACAGGAGACTCTCCCCTGACTCACAGGAGATCTTAGGCCAATTAAACCCAGGTAGAAGAATTTCATCCTTTTCATCTTGAGAAAGAAAAAGGTGACTGCCCGACCTGTTTAGTGACAGGAGAGTATATGTGCTTGTGCTTCTGTGGGCAGATCCTAAAGGAGCAGAGCGTAGAACACTGTCTTTCTGTCAGCCCAGAGAGTACAGGAGGCTGGCTCGGTGGCCCTTCTTAGAAGATGCTTGGTTCTTGTATGCTTTTTGATTTTGGTGATCGGACTCAAACATAGGACCTGTATGTGCTAGGCATTGGCTCTCCCACTGAGCTCAACCGCAGCCCAAAATAAACGAACCTTGATTTTTTTTATGAAAAACTCTTTTTAGCATTCCTTGTAGTTAATACAAAACTGGAGACTGATCTAAGGAGTGTTAACTTTCCAATATGGCCTTGCCTCTTAGTCTGTTGTTTTGGAAAATTGAAAGGGCAGATTTGTCCTGTTTTGTTTTTTTTATTATTATTATTACTTTTTACAGTATTAACAATAACTTTTGATATTCAAAGTAAACAATTTTTTTTAAGAATTCAGTTTTTACCAATTTACAAATATTTTTTTATTTGAAGGCTGCTTTTGTTTTTAGGTCATGGGCCATTTTCTCATATGTTTGATGGAAGATTTATCCCACTTGCTCGTCCAGACAAAAAGTGGAGGGTATGTATTCATATGTCCCAAAGTCAATAGGAAGAAACAGAATTTTATCTAGTTATTCAACTAAATTCTTTGTTTTCCTCTCTGTGTTCTAGCATCCTTCCCTGGAACAGCATTCAGGGTGCTTCCATTCACGTGTCTGTTTCAGTCCTCACAGTAGCCTGTGGAGAAAGGATCTTATCTTCCATTCAGAGCCCTCAGAAGCACAGAGATGTGCCTGACTTCAGAGGGCCATGGAGTGGTGGGCCAGCCCTAGAGAGCAGCTCCCCTAGTTTGTCCTTTCTACTTTGTCACATTACTGTAGAATTATTTTTTAATGAGATTCATTTATTTATTATGTATCCAGCATTCTGTCTGCAGAACCAGAACCCTCCGGCATCAGATCCCATCACAGATGGTTGTGAGCCACCATGTGATTGCTGGGAATTGAACTCAGGACCTTTGGAAGAGCAGACACTGCTTTTACCCTCTGAGCCATCTCTGCAGCCCCTTTTTAAAACCCAGCTTCGGTTTTTATTTTGGTACAGCCATGAACTTAAGTGTCATCAGTTTTAGTAACTGAGCATTTGCTTTTAATACAGTGTTTCCTATATAGTTCAGAATGACTTTGACTGCTGTTCTGCCTCAGCCTCCCCAGTGCTGAGAGTATGTTACACCCTCACTTCAAGCTTTAAGTGAACCCTTTATAATTACCCATTTACTGGTGATGAACACAGCTGTACATATTGAAGCAGTTTTAAAAAATGAAATTGACTTCCCAGTCTCTTCTGTACTTGGAGTGGAAAAGCACAGTGATATAAGCCGGAAGTGCCGTACTCATCAAACCATTTTGTTCTCTGTCTTCCATTTTTTTGAAGTATAATTTACATTCAATAAATTATGCAGATTTTTGTTGTGTTGTTTTTGTTTTGAGGCAAGATCTCACTGTGGAGACCAAGCTGGCCTTGAAACTGAGGGGTC